TAATATTTCTCATTTTTAATTTAATTTATTGAACTAAAAATCCCATTACCTATTCTATTACAACCGAACCAAAATACAAACTTTGTTAACTAACACAATTTTAGTTATTTTTAATTTCATTTTATTTAAATAATATTTTAATTTGACTAATGTTTAATAATTAATTTAAATAAATAAAAATATTTTTAAACCGTTATCATCAATTAATCCATATTTTTTAACAAAATTTTCTGTATATTTATTTTCCTCAAGAAAACATAAAAGAAAAAAAGTTGTTCCCTTTTTACTTTTAATTAATTCTAAATTATTTTTGTTTTCTTTAAATTTTTGATCCAAAAAATCTAAATGATCCAGATTTACAATTTTATCAATTTCTCTAATATATTCAGGATCTACTTCATTTTTTAAATTTAATTTTGTAATAATTTCTTCTAATTTTTTATTAATTTCTTCAATAATTAAATTAATTTCTCCTATTTTAATTAAATTTTCAAATTCTTTAGTTTTACCAGAAAGGAATTCAAAACATTCAGTTAAAAAATATAACGAATAATTTAATTTATCCTTCATATATTTATATATTTCTTTTTTTATTTTTTTAAATGTCTCTTCTAAATTTTTATATTTTTCTGAATTTATTTCTAAAAAAGACAAAAGAGCATTTTCTATTTTTTCAACTTTTCCTAACAAAAGTGAAATATTCATTCTGACTTCTAAATCTGTAAAATATAGTCCTTCATTCGTGTGGATTTCTATTTCTGTTGATTCTAACCATAAAATATTTTTATATAAATGCCATCGGAATTCTGGTTCGATATAAGCTAAAAATATTTAATTTAATTCAAATATATATTTAAAAATTATGAGTATTAAATTTCAATCCAATCTTGATGAGAGAATATAATAACGAACTTATTTATTAATATTTATTTTCCTCAGTTATGCTAATAATAATTTCTTTCCTATGAAAATCTCTCATTTGTTTCCATTTCAAATTTTAAAAAATATAAAAAATTCTTCTTGCAAGAATTCAAAAATTAAATTTTAATTTTCTATAAACTTTTAAAAATAATAAAATTAAAAACTACTTACATATTATAAGAAGTTCTGTATATTTAAACTCCAAATTACGTAACAATTCATGCCCAACTAATTTAATAATATTTGCTTTAACATTATTATCAAAAGAAAAATTATTTGGGTTTATTTTACTCAGAAAAATGTGAAGAGAATTGAAATGAGAATATTTAATTTGTTTTTCTAAAAAGTTTGTGTTTAAACAAATATCTATCAATTCTTCTATTTCCTTTTCTGTTTCGCATAAAATCTCTTTATTAAAAATATTCGTTTCCTTAAATTAAAAATTTTATAATTCCCCAAAAAGGAATTTTGTTTTTCCGGGTTGAATTGGACTTGCCTTATCAACTGATTATATTGTTTTCTACAGACGCCCAAGGCTCTTGGTCTTTACTCAAGACTTCTTGGGTTTTTCGGTCTCGGACATCTCTATTGTTTTCAGCCCTATGGAATACACTATTGGTGTTCGACTGCTGTCATTCTTATATTTTTTAAAGATAGGCACAAAAGCCGTATTCTATATACCGTATTTACTCGATTAATTCCCCCGAGGAATTATTTTTTCAACCCATCCGTTGCATGGGGAATTAATAGAGGGTGGGGAATTATTCGTGTTTTGAAATTTGAACGTGTATTTGGGTATTCAAGGGTGGGGAATTATTTTTTCAACCTATCACCGGGATGGGGAATTAATCGAGTAAATACGGTACATATTTATAATATTTTCTATTCGGAATTGAACTAATTCCTAATTATTATTACAATTTCAATTTTAATTTTAAATTAATTTTTACATACATATTTAGGCAAAATAGAATATTCTTCCAAAGATTGTTTCCAATATTCATTATTTAAAAGTTCTTCTGCTGCATTCGCTTAATCAAATAAACAATTTGCATTTTCACATGCAAATATAAAGTGACCTATTTCTAATTATAAAGGTCTCCCGACGTTATCATCCAATTCTCGTTCCTTATCTTATTTGTGTTATTTATATTTTGACCCTCAAATTGCCTCTATAAATACCCCAGCCTTTTCCTCATTATCAGAAGATTTGGCCCAACCATTTCTCTCCCTTATTATTGTGCCCATATTTATATGGAGAATAAATTAAATTAAATAGAATAAATATTTAAAGAATGTAATTCAGTCTAATAGAAGTCCCCAGAATAGTAGAACCCGAGTTAAGCTATATAATACAAATATAGCAAATGGTGCCACGACCCGGGATATTCTGAGAGGACTAAAAATTAAAATACCGGGCATTGACCCGAAGAAAGAAAATATTCGTGAAATTGAATAAATTAAAATACCGGTTATACATAAACCGAGGTAGCTAAGAAATTTGAAATTAATAAAGCATCCACAAATAAAATAATGGCATAGCTGATGTGAAAAAAATTGAAAAATTCTAGAAAATGGAAATTTTGAAATTGTAGGATTTAGAAAAACGTCTTGAAGATGTAATGATCTGAAAAGTTAACACTGAAGATAGAAGCGGAAAAGAACTTTCTGTGGTAAATTATTAAATAGCCGAAGCTTTGTGCGGGCTAGGTGCCTGGCTATAATGCATAAGACGCGGGGTGCGCAGCAAATAAAACCGAGAATGGATCTAAACTTAATCTTTAAGCAGTGATAGCTGTGGAAGACAAGCAAAAGCAAGACGATTTTTTTATTGAAGGGAAGGAAAAAAGTAGTTTAAGAATTTTTCATGAAAAAGCAAAAGATAAGAAATTTTGAAGATTGATCATAAAATCTTTTGCCCGTTTTTCAACGGAGAAACTCACGCTCGTCGCAAAGAGAACAGTAACAAGGAAATTATTTGCAACTTCTATGCCTCAACAATTCAATGATAAGGGACAACAAAAATGAAATGACTGATCAACTCTGGATGCAAAAATGGCACATGGCACTCAAAGAATCAAATGGACAACACTGGAAAGAATGATGCTCAACTAGGCTGTGAAAGAAAACTCCATAAGTTCTTGTCAACCTAATTAATTTTTAAAATTTTTTGTAAACCGATTTTTTCTTAATTCCCTTGTTTGTAATTTTTCCTTATTTTTAACCCTTTCAAAATAATGTAATCTGCCCCATCCAGTAATTCACTCTAAAAAATTATTAGTCGGAGAATATGGAGTTAAATCGCTAAAAGCAGAAAATCTTTAATGACAAGAAAAAGATTTTTAAAACCCAAATGGAGACTGTTAAGCGAAAGCATAAAAAAATTATTCCGTCGTGAGAAATAAGACGAGAATGTAAATTAAAGAAATTAAAGTGCCACCCGTTAAATCGGAGAAAATTTAGTTAAAAAAAGCAGCCTAAACAAATCTCCCGAAATATCAGAACGTGGACGTTCTTTTCGAAGAGGGAAGGAATGCTGCATTCGCTTAATCAAATAAACAATTTGCATTTTCACATGCAAATATAAAGTGACCTATTTCTAATTATAAAGGTCTCCCGACGTTATCATCCAATTCTCGTTCCTTATCTTATTTGTGTTATTTATATTTTGACCCTCAAATTGCCTCTATAAATACCCCAGCCTTTTCCTCATTATCAGAAGATTTGGCCCAACCATTTCTCTCCCTTATTATTGTGCCCATATTTATATGGAGAATAAATTAAATTAAATAGAATAAATATTTAAAGAATGTAATTCAGTCTAATAGAAGTCCCCAGAATAGTAGAACCCGAGTTAAGCTATATAATACAAATATAGCATCTTCCTCATTTTTAACCAAATTATTATAAATAAATTTAAAAAATTCACAAAATATTTTTTCCCTCTTCCAATTTTCTGAATTTTCCAAAATATTTAAAATTAATTTTAAAGAATTTTCTGAAAATTTTTGAAATTTTTTGTTGAATTTATTTAAATTAAATTTATATTTTTCTTTTTTAGCTTCTTCATTTTCTTTTAATTTTTCACTTAAAAATGAATAAAAAATTTTATAAAATTTATTTTCTTCTTCATTTTCTTCCTTTAAAATATTTTTGCCAGCAGCATTTTCAATAAAAAATCTAAAACTTTTAATTAAAGATTCAATTTCAAGTTTTTTTAAATATTCATTATTATTTGAAGATAAAAAATAATTTTTATATAAATTAAAATTTTCTTCATTTTTTTTAAAATTAAATATTTTATATTCTTCACTTTTAAATATTTCTTTTTCATTTATTAATGTTGAATTTGTAATTAAAAAAATATTAATAATTAAATTAAATAATAATATTAAATACATTTTTATTTTTTTATTTATTTGTGTAAGTGAAATAAATAAAGAATAAATAAATAAATAAAAATATTTTATTAAAGAAATATTGGGAAATACATGTCTCTTTCCTTATTGCCTATAATTGCACTTTTATGCCAATAAAACGACTTTGAAAAAGCCGACTAGCAATTCACGTGAATAATAAAAAAATTATTGAGAAATGAAGAAATCAACCGGAAATATTCAAATATTCTAAACCTCGATCCTTCGGCTTAGTTCCGACCCACAACCCCATTCACATGCTTTCTTATAACATTTCTTATGGCCGTTGATTAGTGTTCCAGTTATTCCCTCTTATATTGTAATTTTACTCGATGGATAAATCTTCCTCTGAAATATACCTATGTTTAGAATCTCTTTTTTAGATATCCAAATCCTAATCTATATTTATAAAAATCACAATACATTTAATAAAATAATTTTATTCGTTTTAATCCATCAATTTCACAAAATTATAATTCTAATTGAAGTATTTTCAATTGATCCCTTACAGTATCTGTTTTTAATGTATAATGTGTAAGGCCATCATATTCCATTTCTTTTTTTGTTCCAACAACAATTGAAGTCTTCCAGCCATATGCTTTATTAGTTGGGCCTATTATTGTGTCGTTAGTTGACCAAAAACTTGCCTAAAATAATTATTTTTTAACTAAATAAATTTATTACAATATATTTAGCATCATCATTTGAATGATCCAATTTTCTCAATATATCTCCATAATTATCTGAACACGGAATAAGATCGTCGCTGTTACACTGTTTTACATCTGTATGTTCTGGACAGCTTGGACCAGTCCAGAAACCAAACTTTAAATTTTTTGAAATTAAATTATTAAATTATATATTAAATAGCCATTTATACTTCTTTACTGCAAGCTGGAACTCTTTTTGTGTCGTTAGTTGTTTCTCCTTCACTATCAGCACAAATACACAAGCCATTGTTAGCACCAGCGATTGCAATAAATTTATTTATTTTACTTTTTAGAGGGTCTCCAAGTTGGCACTTTTAAATTAATTTTTAAATAAAAATTAATTTTAATTTTACTCTATGTAAAATCCACATATTCCCTTGTATAATAATTCTTGCATAAGTAACACCCATTGAATGAGCAATAATATCTATTTCTTCTGCACCTGTATAAGCTAAAACAGCATCTACAAATCTTCGCAATCTTGTAGCAGTTCCGCAAGTTAATTTACTGTATAAAAAATAATTTTTGGATAAATGGATTATTTTAATTTAAAAAATTTTTATATTTAACCAATGTTTATTATTTAACTCTCTCTGTATCAATTATATGATTTATAATCAAATAAAAATACTTTTCAATAGATTTTGTAATGTCTCTAACTCCATAAGTTATTGCGTATAATTCAGCTGTAGTGTATCCTCCATGGGACATAAAATAACTAATGGAATTACTCCATCCACTGTTCCAATCACCACCATGACCAGCTAACGCCCCATCAGAATTGCCATGAATAAATACTACTGGACGTTTATTTATCTAAAAGTTTTATCTACTTAGGTCAATATTGAAATTACATATTAATTACAAAAATATACATATACGCCCTAATTTCTTTAAAAGTATTATAAAAATTTCAATAATTAATTATTAGAGTTGACAGAAAAGCGCAAATTAAAAATCTACAATTTTTTCCTACCAACCCCAAAGAGCATGATAAATTTTTGACAAATATTTTTAATTTTTAGGTGTATCTATATTTATGTAGATTGATTCATCTTATTAAGGATACCTATTTAATTTAAATTTACTTTTCTAATATTTACCGGCTGATTTTTGTATTTACGTCCACCAAAACTATTTAAATTACCAAAACCAGCCAAGTCTTCGTAATATTCATGCCTGTCAAAATTTATTAAAAAATTTTTTTAATGTATAGAAAAATATTATTTAATCCATATATAAAGTAAATGTTATAATAAAAGCCCAGGGGTTTTCATTTTCAATGATTTCCTTTGGGTGTGCTTCTACATAATCGGGCAATAAAATGTTTAGGGTAATTTTATTTAGGTAATATATTTACTGAGAAAGCCATTCTTGAAAGTCTTGTGTTAAAGGTCCTTCTACTTTATCAGGTGTTACTATCTCAAATTCAGGTTTACATTCACATTCACATTGTTCGTTACTTTCATTTAAATTAAAAATTAAAAATAAACAAAAAATAATTTTTATTTTATTTTTTAATAACATTTTTTATGATTTTTTAAAAATATTTTTTTAAAAAATTTTTGAAAAGCACTTTTAACGAAACCTTTTTATAAGCATCTTTAGATCATGAATATTTATAAACTTAGACAAAATTTTTTGTCTATATTTATCCATTTAAATAATTTTCCGTATTTAAATTCATTTTGTTTTGATATTTTTAGAAATATATTTTAATTTTAAGTATTATAGGCAATCTTAGAATATTAATTTTATTAAATTAATATTATTTTATTTGAAAATAAAATTGGCCATTTAAAATTATTTATTTGTAAATTATTCAGGAGATTTGTAGGGATGTCTGGGATATCAGCAGCCTTTTAATCGCCTCAGATATCTATTTTATCCCTCGATATCCCTCCAAATCCACCGATATCCGCCTTAATTTCTTCAACTCCCTCATTTTCCTTTTAATCCCTTCAGATCCTCATGTTAGAGTTGTAAAGAAATAAAAATTTTTGTCGATAGAAGGTTGTAGTTCTCCAGGGTGAATAGTTCTTCCGTGTGTAGGTTTTCAGGGTCAAAGTATTTTTAGTATAGATCTTCAGGGTGTAAGTCTACGGGCTGTAGGACTTACTCATATTTTCTACCGATCCAAAGTCCCTCAATATCCCTCAAAATCTTTTTTGGTTAGAAATTCGTTAAAAATTAATGATATTCTAATTTTGTTTAACTCACCGAAATTTCCCTGTAAAGATCCTTCCTCGTCCCTGTTCACTAACTCGAAACTAACAAAAAATTCCTTGTTTACTCATTGTCTTTCTTTCTCAAATAAATTATTTTATTTCTTTTTAACTTAAATTTTCCACATATCAACTGTTTTTTATTTTATTTTAAATCACCTCATAATCAATCCTCATCATTTTTCAATTGTTGCAATGACATTTAAACTTTTTTTCAATATTTTTCTATTTAAATATTTAGATTTTTTTAAAATAGTTTTTATATCTTTAATCATAAAAGATTTAATTTCATCTACTAAAAATATTTTTAAAAAATTTAATTTTTAAATCTCGAATTTCCCTCTTTTTTTCCAAATGATTGACTGATTTTTTAAAAATTCTTTTTCTATTTTTAGTTAAAGTTTTTATTCCCAAAATATTTTAGTAAATTTTGTTTTAAAAATATTAATTGCTTTTTATAAAAAAATATTTTTTAACCTAATTATTAATTAATTTTAATCATTTAAAATCATTTTAAAAACCACAAATTTTAATTTATTATTAGCTACTTTTTATTTTAAATTTTGAAAAAAATTTTTTGTTCTATTTCTTTTGATCTGGAATCTATTTAATTAAAAAATATCACTTTGTTGAATAACGACATCATGAAACTGTAATTTTTCCTTAAATGATAGTAAAATAAATTCTAAAACCTATTTATATTTTTCCTAAAAATATTTGTGTCAATATTTTAAATACAGTCGGATCTCCATTGTACATACCAGGGGTCTGGCCGACATAAAAATGAAATTCCCAATTTCGAGAACCGGGAATTCACGACCGAAAAAAGTCGGGAAACTCCCGTTTTCAGGAATCGGGTCGGCTAGAACCCTGGTACATACATCCTTGGAATGAAAAAGTTATAAGCTTTATGTAAGATTCGAGCTAACGTTAAGGAAGCTCCCCTCTCTTCAAAAATTATCTGTAAATAGAGATTGTCCGTACCTCTTGTTGTACAAAAAAATAATAATTAAGTGATCTTCCTTTAAATATTTGGATGGATATATTGGCTTTGTTGACACGTCAAGAAATAGCCTCATTGGCAGAACAATTTTCTGACAGAAGATTCTGTACAATTCTTGCCTGTTATTTGCATAGATATGGATTAATTACTTTGCCTACCCTTCGATTTGATTGTTCTACTTATGGGGCTAGACGGCAATCAGCACCAACAATACATGCCTGGCATGGAAGGGGTTGGGATTCTGAATTGCCTTTAGCTGAAGCACCTTTGCCCGTTAATATAAGAAATTTTACTTCATTAGAAATTTGGTGCTTTTAATAAATATTTGGATATATTAATTTCTATTTTTTAGTTATTTTGATTCAAAAGTTGCCCAATTTGTTCAAAGAATGTCTCCAATATTTAATAATGTTGTTATTAATTTAGTTAGCGATTCTAAAGTTGGAGGAACTAAAAAAATAAACAACAAAAAACAATTTGAAGTTTTACGTCATTTACTTCCATCAATTAATAGTATTGAGGGAATTCGTATTGAGGATTTAAAAATGTTGCCTGAACTTAATTCTAAATTCCCCACAACATTTTTTGATATTAAAGTTTGTAAAAAATATTTTGAATTAAATACACGATTCCTCTGATATATCTCTAATTGAATTTTTCAATTACCATTATTATCTAGTTTTGTATCTAGAAAAAGGAAATATTTAAAGGATATCCCGTAGATATTAAGGCGGATGATCATTATAATTAAATATAAATATTTTACTTTGCACAATCAAGGCTCGAAGATGAGAATTAGGGATTTATATCAGTTAGAAATATATCAGAATCCGAGATCAATTACTGCTTTTGTCTTTTCAAATAGACTAAAGATATTTAAAATTTACAAGGTGTTGCAACTTGTAAATCCCAATTTGGCCGTTTCTTCAAACAACATTCAAAAACTTCCATCAACACCCACAGCTGCTCGTCAGCGATGGAATGTTCTTGTTAATTCCTCAAATTTCCCAAATCGTATTAAGAGAAAATCTGTGGATTCTGCAAATTTAAATAATGAAAATGTTGATATATTAAGTTTAATTTTAAATTGGTTATCCACAAAAAGGAAAGATGGAGAACCTAGAATGTTGCAATTAAGGAGGTCATCTGATGCAAATAATAATAAATTAGAAGAATCATCTGTTATTGAATTCATTAATGCAATTAAAAAGGTAATTTTAAATAATTAGAATGGGATAAGGATATACTAGATCCTATCTTAAAATTTAAATCAGGAATATACCGTTTCAAAACTGACTGTACCATAATTACTGTAAGGAAGAGAAAGATCCAGCTGGCTTGCATTTAAAACGCTCACTAGGCGTGGGTTTAAGATCTATTAAAAGAGAGGATGAAGGCAGCATGCCGGTAGCCCAGTCGGTAGAGGACCTGTACGTGGTGAGCGAAAGGCCTAGCAATAACTGCCAGAAGGTCGCAGGATCGAAGACTGCCGGGGATTAAGCTCTTACCTCTCTCTTACTTTACTGACTGTTATTATTTCGCCTGTCCCACTGTTTCAGTTACCAGAAACAGGTTTCAGAACTCCTGTTCTAAAGCATTTAAAAAATAAAAGTATGAAAACTTTAGTAACTTATTTTCATTATTATTTATCTGCCAAATCTAGTTGCTTACTTTATCACAATCTTGTTAATAATTTAATCAAAGAATTTAACAATTTAGAATTTCATTGAATCCAAAGAACCTGCCAGTTATTTTATTCGAATGAGAGAACATAATTGTATAGAAAATATTCCTTATTTTAAATTAACGAATGAATTAACAAATGAATGTTTGGAAATGAATAAAATTGAGAATGAAAAGGGGGGAGCTTTAATTAGTAGATATTTAATTAATGAAATAAGAGATGAACAATGGTGGAGACAAAGAGAGGAAAAAGCTATTAAATGGAGATATGCTTCTAGATTAAGAAGAATTGCTTTACTACATTATTTAAAATAAATAAATACTCCTTTGCATATGAACAAGCTTAATTTTTGTAATTTATAAATAAAAATTTTCAAATTTCTATTAGAATCCGAAAGGAGAAAATTTTTGAAATATATTTATTGGAATATTAAAAATTTTGAAAATATTCTATGAATTTTTAAACCCGTTGATGGGTTGTTTATTTTCCTTTATTCTTTTTGTAAGTGCGACACAATACATAATATGAAAGAAAAAATTATTCTTAACATAATTAACTTTAATAGTATTTAACATTATTAAACATTTTAGTAACAAAATTTTAAATAAATTTTAAAAAATAATTTTAAATTATTTAAATTATTCTGCTAAACAACTTTTAATTTAATTTAATTAATAAATATGGCAATATGACCACTCTATTTCTTCTTTCTTTCTTGGAGAAAATGCTATTTGTTGTAAGAGAGAATCAAAAAATATGCAATAATTATTAAAGACTGGCAATGCAAATTTTAACTCGACATCTCCTTCCCAATCCCATATTTCAATTTCACAAATATTATCGTGCTTAAATAAATAAATAAATTATTTTTTTTATTTTATCGCTATTTATGGACATTCGAAAGACTCGTTCAGATGTGAAAAATTAATTGATATTTGATAAAATTCTGCCTTTAGTTAGATTATTCTGCCTTTAGTCTGATTAGATGTCGGCGCAGGACGGGATCCCGACGGGATTCTCCGGGAAATTGGCTCCCCGATTTTTTTGATTTTCGGGATCCGGGATTTTTCGTGATTTATCCCTCAGGGTCCCGTCCCGGATTCCGTACCGGCCCTCAGGATCCCGTACGGTTAAGAAAAAATCCCGTCTCGGGATCCCGGAAGTGTGATTTTGCCGACCTCTAATTCTGACTTAATAGCTGATAAATTGTTTAATAAATTAAAATTTAATTTTAAAAAATCATTACACTATATCCAGCCAGATCACTTCCATCAAAATGAATGGTAATATTCGCATCATTAAATTTTAAACTTAATTCATTTCTTTTTATTTTAGTATCATTACATAAACCGTCAAAATAATAACGAATATAATAATGAGCATCTAAAGCATTTGAAATTTTTGTAATATCTTCTTTATTTCCTTGTATAATATTGCGAAAAAACATCGAATAAAGAGTAAAAGTAGTGTCTCTACTAATATTTACAATTGTATTCCCCTGACTGTCAACAAGTTCATCAACAAAGAATTCAACATCATATAGTTCGTCCTAAATAATAATAAATATTTATTGTTTTTTAGTTATTAAATTTTGAGATTTTCTAAAAGAGAGATATTTATATGTATTAAATGTGAAGTATATACTATATATAATTTAATATCTAAGGCTATGCAGAAGGCGGAGTGGTGTAATGGATCCCTTAAACTGAAGATGGTTGTCTCAGGATAAACTTTTACAATTAGATGAAGAAATAGTTAAGTCATTACGGCCTTAGTTAAAGACCTAACTTATGCAACCGAATACATATTTTTAATTTGACTTACCTAAAAAATTTTTTAAAAATGTTTTAAATAAATTTACATCAAATTTAGCATTAATTGGAGCACTCATTTTATCCATATAACAATATTCTTCAAATTTTTCTTCATCATAATAACAATTATCGTGAAAATAATAAATAGCATCATTATCAATGGATTCATATGAAAGCATTGCGTAATCTATAAAAAATTCTTCTTTTTCTTCGTCGTTATTTTTAATTTTTGTTGAATTTTTTAAAATTTCTCTCTTTTTATTTAAAAATAATTTTTGTCCTTTTTTACTCAAAATATTCCTTGATTCAATAAAATTAATATTTAAATAAATAAATAGAAAAAATGTTAAAAATAAAATTATTTTGAAATTATTAAACATTTTTTAGAATTTTTTTCTTGATTTTTTAAAAATAATTTTTGGTAAATTAATTTATTTATATATATTAGGTATTATTAAAACACAAAATAGTAAGAATATTTAGATCCGGAAAGAAATGCTAAGAAAATAATTGGACGTTATCTTTAAATGATTCCATTTTTAGTTAAACACCCTAACTTTAATAAGATTATTATTTATTTATTTTAAAATTTTATATATAAAAAAATCTTTTGGAGATAAGAATATATTTTAATAGTTGGAAAAATATTTTAGTTGATATTATCCAAAATAGTTGTAGGAATTTAGGTATTTATCATGTCAAAAGATGTTACAAACGGCAGAATTACTTGAATACTATATTAAAGTAATGAAGATTAATTGTACAAAATAATTGGACAAGTTTATTCTCAGAGTCTCAAATAAATAAAAGTTTCAACATTTTTGAATAGAGCTACTTCGTAACAAAAAAATCTTCGAAAATCGAAAGAAACGAAAGAAAAAATCCCACAAAAATCGAAATTCCGTGATAGCTCTAATCTGGAATATTCCAAAATTGTAGTGACTATCAACTAGTTAAAAAAGGTTGATTTAAAAATAATTAAAATAATAAATAATTCTATACATTACCTACTTTTTATTTAAAAAGATGTTTTTCAATTCAACCTTGTTTTTGTCTAAATTAAATTTCCTAAAACATATTTGGAATGAAAATAATTAAATTTTATTGGATAAAATGGATTGTTTTTAAGTCTTCTTTTTATGTATCTTATTTAATTTCCAAATTTATTTTCGTACATATAAATATTTTTATTTCTTTAAAATATTCAAAATTTATTAAAAATATTTTTTAAAATATATAAATAATTTATATATTTTTGTCAACATTTTAACAAATTTTTTTATCTTTCTACATATTAATTTAAATAATTAATAAATATATCTAATTTGATTATTTAAAATTAAGCTTTAGTTAATTTTATAAATTTTCTTATGGTGATGATTGAAGAACTCGAATTATTAATTTTATAGTCCTCAAATAGGGGTAAGTATGAGAATGAAATAGTTTTTGCTCAAGAATCGAAAGAATTCTTGAACCTTAAAATATCATATACCTAAATTAATAAATTTAAAAAAAACTAAATGATTCATTGTACGTACCCGTATACCTCATGCTCAATTCTTGAAAATCGTGAATGAGGCTTTCTGTAGACAGGATCTCTTGTCCATACATAAAAAATATATGTACATATATTACCTTAATTTATTTTCAGTTATTATTTATTATACTTAAAATGTGTGGAATTGCCCCAAATGAACTTTGTAAATGGTCAGAAGCATTACCTGGCCAATTTGGATTTACAAAACAATTAGTTTATTCTATAATTTAATACATTAATTATGTTTAATAAATTAATTTTTAAAGGTTTTTCGTGTTGCTTTACCTCATATAACTTTACTTTGTTTATCTATTTTTTATGTTGTTATTGGCTCTTTTATTTTAATTACTTTAAATGATAATAGTTCAGAAAATGAAATTTTTGAGTTAAAAAATATTTTTTTTAATAAATTAAAAATTTATATTTAAAGAATTAAAAAGCAATTTGTGGACGAAACATTAAAGAAATTAGTTGAAATTCTTCCTTATAAAAATAATAGTTCAAAACAAAACGAAATAATTAAAATATTTTTTGGTTATTTTTATGAAGAGAGGAAGGATCCTTTTAAATCATTTATTTTAAATGTTTATGAAATTAATGAGAGAAATGTATGTAGAATTTAAATAATTTTGTGATATTTAGAATTGCAATACATTTACTAGTATATACTCCAAAAATACATAATAATACTAATTAAAATTGCTTGCTAATAATTTTGAGGATGATTCACCTAGAGCATTTAAAACGCTTAGGCCCGCTTAGGCGGGGGTTAAACGATCTAAAAGGATGAAAGAAAAACGTGTTAGTCGATGCCCCGGTAGCTCAGTTGTAGAGCTCCTGTATATGGTGAGCGAAAGCGCCTAGCAATAAATGTTAGGAGGTCGCAGATTAAAATCCTGCCCGTTAGCTAAACTCCTGATAAACACTTTCTTAATGTAGGAACTTGATCACAAATACAAAAAATTTTAAAGATCCAGCTTTGTAGATGCTAACCCCCTTTTCCATTAAATTCTCTCCGATTTTGACCAACTTTAGTTTAGTATTTCCCCAATCACTTTTTGAATAATTCATAAAATTAAGAAAAAAAACTAAATAAATTCTTTTAAATTTAATTATTTATTTAAGAAATATTCGAATAGCATAATTTGGAATTTATTCTTTTCAACTACTTGGTTGACTTCTATTGGTACTATATTAATTTTTTCTAAATTTAAATAATTTAAGGTTATGGTGTAAATGCACCAAGCAGTTTAGGTCAACGTATATTTTGTATATTTTATTTAATTTTTGGAATTCCCCTTTATTTGGTTACTTTAGCAGATTTGGTGATTTTCAAAAAGAGAATATATTTTACAAAAAAAATATTTTAGGCAAAATTTTGTACAGAAGGAATTAACAGACTTTACACAGAATGTGTTAAATTTCGTTATTATTTACTTGGATGGTATCGGCACAGAAAAAGAAGAATTCATGCAAATAGCGGAATTGAATATATTGCCGTTGGAACTAGAGGAAGAAGAAGACTTTCTTCTCGTAAACTTTCTGGTCAATTAGTTAGAAATGAAGAAGAAATGGCTGAATTTCTTTGGAAAAATTTAGAAAAAACACATTTTGTTGAAGTTCCCTTTTTCCTTGTTTATATTTTACTTTTGGCTTATATTATTGGCTCTGCACAATTTGTAGCTTATCTCGAAGATTGGACATTCTTTGATTCGCTTTATTTTATTATGATGAGTGTAATGACTATTGGCTTTGGAGGTGAAAATAATTAATTATTTGATTGAAGAATTAAGAAGCAACTAACTGAAAATAAGATGGGGGAGGATGGATGTGGGGAGGATGGGTAATATATATCCTTAGTTCTGTTTACACAATAATAGAAATATTAATTAATAGCTCGGATCTAAATAAATTAAAATTTGCCCTTTAAAGGGTACGCTTAAATTTAGGGTACATTTTTTAGCTGGCAACTGGGGCTGTTTAAACGACATCTCCAATAAAGGATGTACATAAACAATGGTGTAAATAAGTATATAGCCCGCTCCAAGGGTGTAAATAAAATTCCGACATTATTAATTTAGTATATTTCTTTAAGATTTAGTACCAAAAAATATAAAATTTATTTTGCCAATACTTTTTATTATTTTAATTGGATTAATTGTTGCTACAACTTTTATTGATATGGTAGGGGCTTATTATATTGATAGACTTCACTTTTTTGGTAGAAGAATGGATTTAGAGGTACTTAAGTTTGAGAGAATATATGGGGAAATTAATTTTATTTTATGATCCTTTGGAATGGTTAAAAGCTGTTCAGCAACGTAGAATAGAGGCTATGAAGAGAGAAGCTATGCGTAAACTTTTTGAGACGGCTACAGCAATGTATAGACTAAATGCTGGAAGTTTCTCTAAAAAACAAATAAATTTAATTAAAAAAATACCTGAGGGTATTCTTAATTAATTATTTAAATAATTTATTTTAAAAAAAGTAATTATTCCAATGCCAAAAGGAATTGCTCCTTTTAATGCAACAGCAGATTCTGTTACTCTCAAATGGGAACCTTCAACACAAATTTTTTTGGAAGGAAAGCCTTTTTGGTATACATTAAGTTATGCACCTAGAACCCCTCACAGATTAAATAATTCCACCAAAGTGATTGACTTTTTGAGACAAAATCGTTTTGTTGTTAGTGGATTAAAGTAAAATATTCAGCAAATTTATTTTTCAAAAAAATTATTTTAAGATCATTTACTCTTTATGAATTTAATGTTCGTATTTCTACTTCAGAGGGAAGTTCAAAACCAGTTAAATGTCAAGAATATACTGGTTAGAATACATATAATTTAAATATTTACTTAAAATTATTAAGAGCCTTGTACTGTTCCCCAATTATTACAATTGGATGCTATTAGTTCTGAAACTGCTACAATTTCTTGGCGAGCTCCAAGAAAAAATAATGGGCCAGAAGTTTTAGATTTATTTTGACAAAAATTATATTTATTTTTAAAGAAATATTTATTATTATTTACTCAAGAACCAGCTCCCCCTTTCCAATATTGGAGAAGATTTGAAGCTGGAAAACGAAGGAAATTTACACTTATTGGCCTTAATGCTGATACTCGGTTGAACTTTTTAATTCACAGGATTTTCACGTGTGGTGTTAAAAAGAATTAATCTTAGAGCCTACCGAAGATCCCGAAATCTCTAAAAATAGTTTTGCCCTTAGCATTGCATATTTAAATTTTGGCTATTCGGCGCCTGAAGTTATATAGTTGAGCAATTTAACCTTTAAATAAAAACAAATTTAATTAATTCGTTAATAAACTTTAAATATATTTAATTATTATTTAGATATATTGTTTGTACTGTTGCTTTACATAATTTTGGTCAGGCAGCAATTTCCCGTTCCTTACGTTTCAAAACACGTTCTTGGTGGTTTGATGAAGAAAATATAGGAAAAGAATTATTAAATAAAGATGAACAACAACAATTATTTTTAGACAAAATTAGATGTAATAATTTCCTTTTACCTCCAAAATGGCAAAAAAGAGAAAGAAAGTAATTAAAAATTATGTAAATTAATTTTTAATATTTAAATTAGGCCGAGTCTTCGAGAACCAAGTATTGGTGTGAGCAGTGGAGGGGCAACTAGAAGGAGTAGTTTACAAAGTGGGGAATATCAAGATAGAAGTTAATAGTATTTTAAATAATTGTTAAAAGCGATATAGTACATCCATAATAGGGGAATAGAGACCAATGATTCTAGAATTGTAATTTGTCATAAACTTTTAATAATAAAAAAAGCAAAATTATTTAAGAATTATATAAGTCGAACTTTTTAATTCCCAGGATTTTCAAATGCGGCATTAAAAAGGATTAATCTTAGAGCCTACCGAAGATCCCAAAATTTCTAAAAATATAGTTTTGCCTTTAGTGCTGTAAAGCCTTAATTTCATTTTTTGTTTTAACCCTATAAGTTTAGGGTTTATAAAAGCAGAAATAAAAACTAATTATTAAATAAAAATTATTTCCAAAAAAATGTTAACAGTTAAAAATTTAAAGAAATATTAAAATTAATTTATTATTTATTTCTTTGGTTTTGTCAAAAATTCATTCTCGTCAAAAGGTTTTTCATTAAAATAAATTATAAAATTTCTTCCATTTTTCTTTTCTTCACTAAAAATATTTTTAATTTCATTTTTTGTTGTTGATCGTCTAATTTGTTTTACTTCCTTTTCCAATGAAGAGAAAATACCTTTTTTCAACTTTAAATAAAAATTTAATTTAAGTTTTTGGTTTATTCTCTTCAATTGAAATTTTGACAGTCTTCTTTTGATGTTTTTTGACTTAGTTTTTTACTTTCTACTTTTGGAGTTGTTTTGATTGTTTCACTCCTTTTACTTTCCTTCTTTGTATTTTTTGCTTCAATTTTAGTTTCATTTTTATTTTTCTTAGACTTCTTGGCTTCTTCTTGGACGTTATTTTTATTTTTTGTAGCTTGAGGAAGTTTTGATGATTTTGTAATTGGTTGAATTGTTGTTTGTTATTGAATTACTGGAGGTTTTTGGTTGTTCATAAACGGAGTAGTAGAAAGTTTTCTTTCTTAAAAACCTTTAGGAATTGGCACACCTTCACGTAAAGAGTTGGACAGTTTTTCGTACTCAGAAATTGTCATAGCGGGTTTTTGATCTAAAATTAATTTTTCGAGATTATTTTCAAATAAATAAAACAAATTATATGTATTACCTTTCTTCAAGTCAGGCGCGAAAGTGACAAAACCTCACGTAACGACTTGATAATCTTCGTAAGCTGGAAGTTATCTAAAATATATGGACATTGTCATGTCCATACATTGTCATATATGGACATTGTCATACAAAAAAATACACATGACAAGAAAAAGTAAATATCACACCTGTATTTAATCCTGATTTAACTGTTTTTCCTTTTTTAAAGCCGAGTGAAACAGGTAAACCCTCACGTAGTAAATTATTTTTTAATTATCAAAAAAAAATTTCAGAAACAGAAAAAAGGGTCAAAATAACCATATATTAAATGCAAAGAGGTACAAAAAAATACACATTATTTTTTTAAATATCTTTTACAAAAAAGTGTACAGTAACACATTCAAATCGTTTCCTTTCTGATTCTTCTACCTCACTAAAATACCTATATAGTTTCTCGATCTCCACTTGACCCATGAATTTTTAAGACAGAAGCTAGGTTACCACAACGATAGCAATAATTGGGGGCTGACCAAACAGTGCACAACATCGTCAAAAATATATTTAAAGCCTTCCTGTACAAATTGATGTGACCGACAAATTAATGAAAGCCCATTAACTTCAAGAAATTTTTCTACAACATCGCGGCCAAATAACCATCCAGCACCACGAGGATTAAGAAACAGCCACAATCAGAATCGTCTGGGTCTGACCAAACCAAATCACAAAGCGCACCATTTGCCGGAACTTCCACACTTCTTTGCAAGCACATTATAGCATCTAAAGTAGGCAATTCTGGACTAAGCCCTCCATGAACACAAAATATTTGGTTATCAATTAATGCACGAATTGGAAGAACATCAAATACACGACAAAACCAAGTCCAAACAACAGAATTTCCATATTTGTGTTGACATTCGTCATAAAAACCGTATTGGTGGGAAACTCTTCGAGTTTCGTGATTGCCGCGAACCCTGTCAACATAATCTCCCAGAAAAACATAATTAGTCTCCAAAATCGATCCTCCACTTTTAAAAAGCTTCATAAGTTCATAAAATTGTCCATGAATGTCACCACAAATTGTAGCTGGCGATTTAGCAGAAACAATGTTTGGAACACGAAGAAGTCAAACACGAAGAAGTGTTTGGAACACGATTCATCAAAATTTGGCATGTAGTAATCATTTGTTCCTCGGGTAAATATTGACAAGCAGAAACAGTTGAAAGCAATTTGGATGGATATGCAACACGTCCTCGAAAGTTGGTTGGAGTCTCATTTTCTTCATCTCAGTTTTCTCCACATTTGGGGGCGGTGAAGGAGATTTATTATTATTATTTCCCTCTTCAACCTCTTCCTGTGGGGATCATGCAAGATTATTAATTTCATTTAAAGCGGAAGAACATCCAGAAGCGATAGCTTCTAAACTAGAATCGCGACTAAAATATTACTAAGTATCAAAGATTGCCTTAAATTTAACTTCTAAAACTTTGTCATGTATGGAAATATCGAGACCGATTAAATTCTTAATTTTTTCTCACGTCTGGAAAAATTAAAAAATTTACATATATTTAGATCAACATATCATTTTAGCAACATAAAATCTAAGGATATAGAGAGATCTTCCCACCCAGTTATTTTACACCCGCACGATACAGGACCATCTTTAAAATAAAGAACCGGGCACTTTGCATTGGACACGTAATCTGGACAAGACCCATTTATTTTTGAGAATTTTATAAAAACGAAAAAATCACAACGGTCAAGCACATACTATATTTACTTACAGTAAATAAAACATTTTTGTAAAACCAGATTTTTCACAATAAACGATAAATCACTTATAGGTATATCGACAATAATTAATTTTCTAATATTCAGTAATTAATACACGATTTTCAAATCAAAAACCAAAATTTAGTCGAAAACGAGAAAAACTGACCATGAAAATATAAAAAAAAATCACTCAAACAATCATTCACTAATCACATAAATATTTATATGAAAAAGTCAGTGAGAAAACGGACATTATTAAGAATATGGGAATGCATTAATATTGTATAAAGGTCTATCAGAATTATTTGTCTGTAAAAGAACAGAGCTACTAGAGCTGTCCGAGACTCTTGGTCTTGGAACCAAGACTTTTCTTGGTTTTTTTTTCGGTCTTGGTCTTGGGGTGTTTGTCTTGGTCTTGTCTTGGTTTTATTTTTGGTATTGAGTCTTGGAGTTTTGGTCTTGAGTCTTGGAAAAATTTCGGTCTCGGACAGCTCTAAGAGCTACTAATATTCCAATTATTTAATTTAGACGATTACACTGACTAACTTGACTTTGATGTAAATTAAGTGCATGTATCGAACCTGGGAGTCAACGTTGACAGCGAGCCTCCTCTATGCTAAGAATATAGTCTCGTTGTTCTGGTGGAAATTTACAAAGAGCGCAAATGACTTTAGCAAGAGTCTGAAAAACAAAAAAAATAAAATAGAAATTTACTAAAGATTGATTATAAGCAAAAACTAGTGAGCGGAACCGGATCCGCCAGATTTTTCCGGAGTCCGGATCCCAAATCCTGGTTTTTTCGCGATCTCCAGATTTTTCCGGATTAATCCGGGAAAAATCCGGTCGGATACGGTCCGGCTCAATGCCAAATCCGTAATCCAAATCCGGCGATTTTTTTGTACCGGATTTGGGATTTGACCCGGTTCATGTATTTTCAGTTTTCTTGTATTTTTTATAAAAATGAGGATTTTTAACCCTTGTCTATACTGAAATTCAAAAATTTTCGCCCACGGTTGCAAGCTCAAGTTGCAAATTCGGAATCCGGGTACGGAAAAATCTATTTTTCCTCTCAATAGCACAAACATATTTAATTAATAAAAACCTTACCACACTTTCTCTTCCGAAATTTTCACGTCCAACCATGTAGTGATAAAGCACATTCCGTAAATATTGAGCTTCTGTGGCTTCTTCAAGGCTAATTTGGCGAGGTGGAAGATTTGGTTGTTGTTGCTGTTGATTTATTATGATACTTGAGGAAACAGAAGAAAATTGTTGTTGAATAGATTGGGGAATTTGTACAGACGATGGGGAATTTTGTTGTTGCTGTTCAAGTGATGGCGGAGAACCTCCTTCATCTAAACTAAGACCAAGAGAAATTTGTCGTCGCTGTCCTTCGGCGGTTTCAGGAGATTTTTCTGTAATTTTTTATTAAATATTTTTCATTGAGCATATTCAAATAAGCACAATTTTCAATTAAATTTTTATTTTATATTTAATATTTTGTTAATTTAAATATTTTTAGTATTACCATCCTGTTTCTCTAGTGTAGACAGAGCATTTGTTTGTGTAGAATTTTGTTGTTGTATAGCATCTACAGGCATTCTTTGACCTGAAGTAAAACCATTCTGAACAGCAGATATCGGTGGTGGAGGAACCGAAGAATCTGATGGAGGAAAAATCGTTGTGTTATTTATTTGTTGAAAAGGTGGAATTGTAGTATTCGGCTCCGTCATTCTAGCAGGAAAAGTAGATTGAAAAGTACTTCCAGGGAGTGGATGGCCAATTGGAGGAAGAAGAGTTGGATAAGAAGGTGCTGAAGGTAGAGGCATTAAAGATGTTTTCGGGTGTTGCAACCTATGAGAAAAAAAAACGATTTGTAAAATTTTTTAATAATTCAACTGTTTCTCCGACGCATCTCCTTGAACCTTGTCAGGTGTTAAGACATTGCCGGCAATAGACCCTCCGAGAGGAAGATCATTAGGTCCTTTAGGCACAATTGCCGAACTCGTTATAGATGAAGTAAGGGTTGTAGAACTTGTTCCTGTCGTAGTAAATTCCCCTCCAACATTTGTGCTGATCTTCTGAAGTAATGAATTCAAATTTGTAATTTTTTTGAAGGCTTGAAGATTTGATGATGAAAGAGTTGTAGTTGACGATAAGGAATTAGAAGTCGACGAAGGAAATGTTGAACCTATATATATATATTGTTGTAACTTTTGTTGCTGATCTCGACTATCCAAATTTTCCTTTTCATCATCATCCAAATCACGCGAACTAGAAAGTTGTTGAGTGGAAATTTCTTTTATGCTGCTATTATCCTGAAAAATAAAAAATATTATTAAAAGGACAAAAAGAATCTAAATGTAATTGTAAAAGCGCCGCTATTCGAGAGGACCAAAAATAACCAGCTAGTGATATAACGACGAACATAATTAAGTTCAAAAAGCACAAAACCCTACAAGAAACATATAACCACACCCACCAAGTTAGCTCTATTGGGTGATAACCTCTAAAGCTAAAAAGTGAATAAAAATAAACCCTATCCCATCGAGTTCGTCGTTCACACAATATTACCGGATTTGGATTTGTCAAATTAAAAAAAACAGACCTGGCAACGTTCCTGCTCAATTCCTGATTCACCCGATTCTGGTGAATCTGGAGGATTCTCGGCTTCATATTCATCTCCATCAACTGTCGCATCTTGATATTGCTGATATTCAGAAATCAAGTTGTTCATGCTGGACTCGGCTTCAGTAAATTCCATCTCATCCATACCTTCGCCAGTGTACCAGTGAAGGAAGGCTTTGCGACGGAACATGGCTAAACGAGAAAAATGTTTTTTAGACAAGAAAAAATCGTTTACCCATGAATTGCTCAGAGATGCGTTTGAACAGTTCTTGAATTGCCGTAGAGTTTATAATGGCCGTGGCAGAGATTTTGAGACCACGTGGAGGAATGTCACAAACCGCAGTCTTAACGTTGTTTGGAATCCATTCAACAGAGTAAGACGAATTATTGTTTTGAACTGACATCATTTGATCGTCCACTTCACGCATTGACATACGCCCACGGAAGATAGCAGCAACAGCCAAATAACGTCCATGGCGTGGATCACAAGCAGTCATCATGTTCTTGGCATCGAACATTTGCTTGGTCAATTCAGCAACATTTTGGGCCTGATAGACAGCTGCGCCCTTAGCCAAAAGTGGAGCGAAACCAGGCATGAAGAAGTGGAGACGCGGGAATGGAACCAAGTTGACAGCCAATTTGCGAAGATCAGCGTTCAATTGGCCTGGGAAGCGAAGACAAGTAGTCACTCCAGACATGGTTAAGGCTACTAAAATGAACAGGATGCTTTGAAAATGTAGAATATAAATTAACCAAGATGATTCAAATCTCCGTATGTTGGACTTTGAAGCTTCAGAGTACGGAAGCAAATATCGTACAGAGCCTCATTGTCGATGCAGTAAGTCGCGTCAGTGTTCTCAATAAGTTGATGAAGAGTAAGAGTTGCGTTGTAGGGTTCCACAACAGTGTCAGAGACCTGAAAAATTGAAAAATAAAGCCGTCTAAAAAGCTAAAAAGAACCTTAGGCGACGGAACAATAGAGAAAGAAGACATTATACGATCAGGATACTCCTCTCGAATCTTCGCAATCAACAAAGTCCCCATTCCAGAACCAGTTCCACCACCAAGCGAATGAGTCATCTGGAATCCTTGAAGACAATCACATCCCTCCGCTTCCTTTCGAACAACATCCAAAACATTGTCCACCAACTCAGCTCCCTCCGTATAATGTCCTTTGGCCCAATTATTGCCTGCACCGCTCTGGCCGAAGATAAAGTTGTCAGGTCGGAATAGACGACCATAAGGGCCAGCCTTAATAGAATCCATAGTCCCTGGCTCCAAGTCTGTAAGAATAGCTCTTGGGACATACTTTCCGCCTAAAAGTTAAAAATATTTAACTGGAATATCAAAATTTAAGAAACCATAAGCTTCGTTGTAGTAGACATCTATTTTTTCCAATTGGAGATGAGAATCACCATTGTACGAGCCATCAGGTTGGATGCCATGTTCATCAGAGATAACCTCCCAAAACTAAAAATTTAAATATTTATGAAGTTTTGAAGAATTTGAATAAAAACCTTGGATCCGATTTGATTGCCGCACTGTCCGACCTGAATTGTTATTAATTCGCGCATATCAGACAAATAACCCAATATTGATCTAAAAATTATTTTAAAAATCATTAAACATTTTTAAAAATCTGAGTCATGGAAACTACGAGAAATAAATAAATAATGAAAAAAAAAATTGGGCGAACCAAAATTAAATTTTTAAGGGAAGGGACGTTAGAACGTTTTTTACTTTATTCGGGTAGTTTCAGTGCCAATAATGTCTTTTATTTGCACAACGCCAAAGTATTAAATGAGAGCTAATTTTGTCTTTTTCTCTTACTTTTCCGTACTCCGGAACGTCCCACTTGTGTACCGGCCGTTTGTGTACCTGGCCATATTTTGGGCCATAACTTTTTTGATTCTTAACCGACTTCAATTATTATTATATCAATCGAAAGCCCTGGATGTGAGGATTATTTTCGCCAACAGGATTGATTTGATCAGATCATGTTATAAAAAGTTATATCTCGATAAATGCGCTCAATCGTGATTTTGATCTTTATCTGTCCGTAACTTTTTGTATGATTATCTGATCAAATCAATCCTGTTGGCGAAAATAATCCTCACATCCAGGGCTTTCAATTGATATATTATTTATTTAAATCAATTAAGAATTGAAAAAGTTATGGCCCAAAATATGGCCAGGTACACAAACGGCCGGTACACAATGATCCCCTACCCCCGTACTCTTTTCTTTTAATTTTTCCAATTTTGAGTTACCGATTCGGTATTTTTGGGTTACCGATTCGATGTTGGAATTCGGTAATAACGAATTCCATCTCGATAAATCCGGTAATATCGAATTCCAATAACTCGAGGTCGTTTGCAATTTTTACTAGACCGGGCATTATTCGAACCTGTGACCTATTCGAAGTTATTGCTACATAAGCGCTTTCGCTCACCGCATACTGGAGCTCTACCACTTAGCTATCGACGCCCAGGGCGACGACTATTGCTTTCTCTTTTTCTCCTTGTTGATCGTTTACATACGCCAAAGCGTTTTAAATGCTGCTAGGTGAACCATCCTTACAATGTGTTTTGCCCGTTTAATAGACTCTTATCCACCTAATCAAAAAAATTTTCTGTCCACTTATTTGCTTATAACTGAAGTCCACTCGTAGATTTTTTATGCAGTTGTTATATTTTGTTTTTTATTTTTTTTATATCAAAAAATAAATTTTATTATTCAATTTAGATATATTTATTAATTATGTCTTTAATTCTACGTTCATTTCGTCAATCTAAAAATGTTTGCAACAACAAAATTCAATTTTTTTCAAATTCTAAAAGAAGTATTTTAGCCTTTAATTATCGCCATTTTAGCAATGTTAGTTTTTTTCGATTTTTGTTTTAAAATTTAATTTATTTAAGGAAAAATATGAAGAATTGGAAAGACAGAAACGACAAGAATGGCATTGGAAGGGCGTTAAAAAAGGAATTGGATTTATGTCAATTTTGGTTATTTCTGGAACTGCTTATGTTTTTTATGTTTATGGTTTGATTTTTTTAAATTATTTTCTCCTTTGAAATTGTTTAAATTAATATTTAGAGATCGGCCTGGATCTGCATCAGATTTTATTTTTCCTTGACTAATTCACTTAAGGGCAAGAATCTTTTCAGGGTCCCCAACCAATATCAAAGCCAAGGGTTTGATTCTTCGTTACTGGCTTCCAAATAGGAGCCAAAATAGGAGACCGGATTAAAACCGGACCGGATTAATCCGGAAAAATCTGGCTGGATCTTGTCCGGCATGAGTGTTAAATCCAAAATCCAGTTTCCGGACCCAGAAAAATGATTTTGCCGCTCACTATTAATAGTCAATACTTTTCCCTTTTCTCTTTAATCTTTTACTATCCATTGTTAATAATATGTTAAAATTTAGGAAGTCAGCCTCGTGATCCAGTTACTGGTGAATTGCTTCCTGATGAATTTTCTAATTATAAATTTGCCCCATTTTGGCGTGTTCTTGATTTTATTAAATTTTGGAAAAAGGTTTTTTCTTTTTAAAATAGTTTTGAAAATTATTTTTTAGTTCATTGCTGAACCTTCAAGAGAGAAGCTTCTTCCCGATCCTGTCAAGGCTCCTTATCATCAGCCAAAATATACAGTTGTTCTTGAATTGAGAAATGTTCTAGTCAGTCCTCAATGGGATGTAAGTAGAATATTAATTTTTTGTTTGGAAATTTTTCAATATTGTTAACCTTTCTCCTTGAATAATGTTAAAATTGAATTTAAATGAGCTTTTTTTGTTTTATTGAATCAGCGCCGTAGCCAAGAGAAATTGTAAGAATTTTGATCCTGCGCCGCAGGCAAAAATTTTGAGAATTTTCGAGGGCCGCATGCCACAGAAATTCACTTTTTCTCCTTCTCACGCTCTTTGCTTTTTGTCGAAAATTGATTTGAAATTTTTTTTCATTTTTTATTAATTTTCAGTACAAGAAAGGTCATTATTTTGTGAAGAGGCCAGCTTTAGATTATTTTATTGATATGATTGGATATCCAAATTTTGAATTAGTCCTTTACACTTCAGAAAATCTTATGAATGTTTGTTGTTTTTATTTTTTCTAAATATAAATTAATTTTTAGGCAGCTCCAATTGTTACTCAAATTGATCCCCAAGGACAACGAATCAATCATGCACTTTTTAGAGATTGTACTAAATATGTGAATGGTACACATGTTAAGGTTTTGATTTAATTTAAGAGGGCTTATATGTATGTTGAAGTAATTAGTTTTCTACTTTTATCTAATATATAAATTCGCCAAATAGTATTTCCCTTTGAAGAGAATCTCTAGGTCATTTATAGCAATATAAAAACTTTTTTTGTGCCTGTGAGCTTGTACATATCAGCTTGTACATAACTTTCGCATATTTCCCTCTTATAATTCATTTATTTCGCTTTTCGTAAATTGGCTAGGACTTATAGTACACACAGCTCACAAACACAAAATCTTCTTTATATTCTATAATAGACCTAGAGATTCTCTTCAAAAGGAAATATTATTTGGCGAATTTATGTTAAAAGGGGAATTTAACCATAATAATTACCAAAAAACATTCTTCTAAATAAACTTCACTTTTCTCTACCACTTTTTAAAATTTTTTTCTTAATTTTTTTTAATTTTTAAAGGATCTTTCTCGACTTAATAGAGACTTGAAAAAGGTTATCTATATTGATTGGGAACCTGCTGCTTTTCAATTAAATCCAGAAAATGTTCTTTGTGTGCCTAAATGGAATGGAGATATGAACGATACTTCTTTAGTTGATTTGGCAGAATTACTGAAAAGTTTGGAATTTTTTTAAAAACTTAAAACTATTTTTAATTTAAGCAATTCATTTATCGGATGTTGAAGATGTTAGACCGGTTCTTCAATTTTACAGTCAATTTGATAATCCTACCGAGGAATTTAGAAAGAGAGCAAAAATTGTTGGACAAGAGGTTTTTTTAGATTTATTTTTGAAAATCGAAAAAAATATTTTTTGGTGATTGAGTTAAGAATCACTTAAAGTTTAGCTTTGTTATTTTAATGTTTTATGCTATACATGTTTGAGGAGGGGGGGATTTTTTTGAATACTTTTGGATTTTTACCTGGCATGTCTATTAATAATTTTAAAGACGTTCGCGTGTTGTGGAAGATAATTTTTATTGGACTATTTTTAAATTTTACTTTTTCCCCTCCAAACTTTAAAGGAAAACTAAAGGTCTTTGGTATCTTTTGGAATTCCCCTACAAATATTTTTAAAATTTAAGAGGAATTAATTTTTTTATTTTCAAATTTTTATTTTAGAATCAACAAGCAACATCAACTTCTCAATCATTAACGACTTCAGAAGAACCTTTAAAGAAATATCGTGGTAGTTTATTTGGAGCAAGAAGGCATGCTGTTTAGAAAAAATAGTGTGAGGAAAATTGTTTTGTTTTTTTCAATGTTTCAAATCATCCAGTTAATTGGTTTTTTTCTTTTAATTTTATTAAATTTTATTTTAAAAAGAATATTTTTTATTTGGGAAAATAGGCTGTATTCAGAGGCTGTATTCAGAGTAGTGTTATTACTCGTTACCCAGTTTAAATTAGGGTTTTATCCGTCCCCATTTTCTATACAAAATTTAAATATAAGATTTTACACAAATAGGTGTTGAGCCAAATCCTCATTTTTATTTTCTAATTTTTATTTGAAACAATTAATTTTGCTCGAATATTTATTTTTTTACTCTCAATTAATGATTAGGGTAAACATTCTTAAGGAAGAACCTTCAAAAATAATTTTGCGCATTTAATGACAATCAATAAAAGCTATTTTATTCTAAAACAGGTTATAGCCAAAAACTTTTTAATTTGTAAAGTAATTAAAAACATTTCCTTATTTCCTTTGAAATGAATTTTAATTATTTAATATTTACTTTATTAATTACTATTATTTTTAAATATTTATTTGCAATTAACAATAATATTCCAAATACTTTAAATAATCCAATAAAAAATATTTCTCTTTTTGAAGAAAAAGATGACAAAAAAATTTCCGCTTTAATGTTGGATGTATTTTTGCCTGGTTATTTTTAAAAAAATAAATTCCTATTAAATTTTAAATTTAATTTTGAAAGGGTGGCGTGAATGTATTGATTGGAAAAAGGTTTTAAAAATTAATTAAAGGATATTAAAACTAAAAAATTAAAGGGTAGCCCCTCTTTGCAATGTGTGCCGTTTCCAAATGAAAGGCCTGTAAAATGTTCTAAAGAAATTTGGAATAAAGCTATGGTTGATATTGAAAAGGGAAAACTTAAAAATTGTTAAAGTTGATTTTGTTGTTTAAATTTTTTGGAAAATAAATAATTCAAAAATTATTATTAAATTCGGAGAAAGTCTGTATCTCTATCCTTTAACACGACTCAGTTTTGGTAACTATTTTTTATAATGGATATCTCCTTGATTTTGCCAGTTAACAAAATAAAGGACAAACTTTTGTCGATCAAATAATAATCGAGAATTTTGGATTAACTCGAATCAAAAAAATTATTTTTTTTATTCTCAACAAATTACTAAATTCTGAAACAAAATAATTAAAATAAATTAAAAAATTTTTTTCCGTCTTCTTCCACTTCTATTTATTTTCTATTTAATTTTTAAATCCGAACTAGCTTCTTCATCCAAAAACCATTTAATTGGTTGTTGATCTTCTCTTCTTTTAATTAAATTTGGTGGTAACAATAATTTATTATTATTTTCATTTTCAAATATTTGAGCAATAATTTTGGCCTTAGATTTTCCATTAGCAATAAAAATAATATTTTTTGCTGCATTCAAAACAGGTAAAGTTAAAGTAATTCTTCTTGGTGGAGGTTTAGGCGAATCGTCTATATAAGCAACCCAACTATTTTTTTCTTCAAGTAATGGGTGGTTTGGAAACAAAGAACAAGTATGGCCATCAGGGCCTAGTCCAAGAAGTAGAAGATCTAAAAATTAATTTTTGTAGTAGGATATAAATATAGGTAATAAAATATGGGTAAAAAATTTTTTGATTAGAAAGATGAATTCAGATCAACTTTCCATAAAAGAATATATTTTTTGCCGAAAATTAAGTTGAGAAGATTTTCTCCTCCTTTTTCAGAGCTATCGGGAAAATATTTCAAAATAATAATTTAACAATCAATTTTTGTCTTGTTATCATAAATGTTTTTTCATTAAAAAGCGAAAATGCCCTTTAATTATCACAAAATATTTTTTACGAGTAGGAATGTTAAATAATTAATATTTATCTTTAAATTTTTGTTTTTTAATATTTTAAATAATATTCTTTAAAAATTTAAATTTTTCTCTTTAAATTAAAATATTTAAAAATTAAACCAAAAATAGGAAGTCCATTAGCATCAAGTTTTGGATGCATTGATCGAAGTTTATTTTCAAATTCTGAAGCCATTTTAGGTCCATCTTCTAATAAATTAGGTTCTTCAGAAATTTTTAATATTTTATTCTCAAATCTTCCTTTATTGGTAGATAATTCTCGCAAAAGACTGCCGGCATTGCTTTCTTCACTTTTTAAAGGCACTAAACGTTCATCAACAGGGAACAATAAAAGATTGGAAATTAACTTAAAAAGTTTTTTTGGAAAAATTTTAATTTTAATTACATCATTTGAAAGTTCATTTAATAAAGGTGCAAGTAATTGAGGCATTGAACCGCCAGAAAATCCAATAAAAACATTTTGAGAAGAATTAGTATTTAAAACAGAAAGAATATTTTGCTTCAATAATTCATTCTGGAAGCGAAATTAATTTAGAATTATTTTAAAATAATTTTATTATTCACCGAATTTTCACAATAAACTTGGTGAAAGCCAATTTTTAATAAACACGAATCAATTAAATTAGTCATCAAAAAATAATAAGGTGGTAAATCTTTAAAAAATTATTTAAAATAAATTTAAGCTTAAAAATTTAATTTTTTAAGTAAAAATCTAAAAACTTTAATTAATAATTTTTACATAAAAATTTAAAATATATTTATATGTAATAAAATAATAAGTTAATATTTGTACAATTTTTATTTATGTGTAAGTAATTTCTGGGACACATGCAAAACGGCGCGTGGCCATAACTTGCTTCAGGATTTTCTTATCTTTCCAAATTTAGTTGATTGTAAAATTCGTTTCAGTTTTTCACATCACTACGCCTGCTTATAAAATTTCTTTGCCGAAATTAAGCCAAAAATTAAAAGGTTTGCACTTGCAGTGCTGAAAGGCGAATTTCGATGATGTAGTAGAGAGTGTTTTTAATTAAAATTAAATATTTTTTTATAAAATTAATTTAAATTTAATTTTATAGTTTGATTTATTTCGTCTATCCAAAACACAAAAAATTTCATAATTCATTAAAGCAAAATAGATAAAAAATAAAAGTGCAAATACATACACTTACATACATGTGTATTTATGGCCAAATAAAAGTGCAACTACTTAAATATTTATAGCCAAATAAATATATTTTTTAAATTATTATTTCTTAATTTAAAATTAAAAAAATAAATAAAATGTATATAATATTATTATTTAATTTAATTAATATTTTTTTAATTACAAATTCAACATTAATAGAAGAAAAAGAAATATTTAAAAGTGAAGAATATAAAATATTTAACTTAAAAGAAAATGAAGAAAATTTTAATTTATATAAAAATTATTTTTTATCTTCAAATAATAATGAATATTTAAAAAAACTTGAAATTGAATCTTTAATTAAAAGTTTTAGATTTTTTATTGAAAATGCTGCTGGCAAAAATATTTTAAAGGAAGAAAATGAGGAAGAAAATAAATTTTATAAAATTTTTTATTCATTTTTAAGTGAAAAATTAAAAGAAAATGAAGAAGCTAAAAAAGAAAAATATAAATTTAATTTAAATAAATTCAATAAAAAATTTCAAAAATTTTCAGAAAATTCTTTAAAATTAATTTTAAATATTTTGGAAAATTCAGAAAATTGGAAAAGAGAAAAAATATTTTGTGAAATTTTTAAATTTATTTATAATAATTTGGTTAAAAATGAGGAAGGACTTTTAAATAATGAATATTGGAAAGAATCTTTGGAAGAATATTCTATTTTGCCTAAATATGTTTGTAAAGAAATAAATTTAGATTTAATATTAAAATTGTAATTTAGTTAGGAATAGTTCAATTCCGAATAGGAAATATTATAAATATATAGAATACGACGTTTGTGCCTAGAAATATAAGAATGACAGCAGTAGGACACCAATAGTGTATTCCATAAAGCTGAAAACAATAGAGATGTCCGAGATCGAAAATTTTCCAAGGCTCAACAACAAGACTAGACCCCAAAATCCAGACCGAAAAAACCCAAGAAGTCTTGAGTAAAGACCAAGAGCCTTGGACGTCTGTAGAAAACAATGTAATCAGTTGATAATCAAGGCAAATCCAATTCAACCTGGAAAAACAATTCTCTTTTTGAGGAATTATAAAATTTTTAATTTAAGGAAATGGATATTTTTAATAAAGAGATTTTATGTGAAACAGAAAATGAAATTGAGGAATTGATACAAATTTGTTTAAACACAAACTTTTTAGAAAAACAAATTAAATATTCTCATTTTAATTCTCTCCACATTTTTCTGAGTAAAATAACCCCAAATAATTTTTCTTGTGATAATAATGTTAAAGCAAATATTATTAAATTAGTTGGGTATGAATTGTTTGGTAATTTGGAGTTTAAACATCCAGAGGTTCTGATAATATGTAAGTAGTTTTTAATTTTATTATTTTTAAAAGTATGTAGAAAATATAAATTTAATTTTTGAATTTAATATAAGAATCTTTTATATTTTTTTAAAAATTTGAAATTAAAACAAATACCCTTTAATAATTATAAAAATATAATTAATTTTCAATCCTTTCACATTTCCAATTCGAAAAAAATTTCCGATTAATGTCAAAAAATATGTGAAAAAATTAATTTAATGGACAATAGAAGTATAGAAATAAATAAATAAATTTGTTTAGTTTTGAGAATTTATTATTAACAAATTTATTTTAAAAATGCTAATCAAACAAAATTATTTTAATTTAAGATGAGATGGAGCCAAATTATCGTTGGAATTTATATGAAGATATTTTTATGTTAAATAAATCAGAAACAGAAATGCATGAAGAATATTTAGGAAAATTTTTTTCTTTGTCAGAACAACGAATAAATATTTCAATTTTGTTGGGAAAATTAGAATATTCAAAAAAACTTTTTTCAGAAAAAATTAAAATAAATGAAAATTTAGAAAAATATAAAAATTTGGAAAAAATTTTCGAAAAAATAAAATTAGAAGTTTACAAATATTTAAATGATGATTTAGAATATTCAATTTATTTATTAACTAATATTGTAGAATTTATTTTAAAAAATAAAGAATTTGGAAATGGAGAAAGTGATTTAATTATTAATGAAATAAATAATGAATTAAATAAAATAAAATTAAATTTTGAAATAAAAATTAGAAATGATAGTACACATTTAATTAATATGAGACAATTAACGAGTAATGAACACATTAATTATTTAAATAAAAAATTTAGCGAAGATAAAAATATTTTGGAAAAAATTAAAAATAAGAGAGGAATATATTATCTAATTGTTTCTATTTTATGTGGAAATGCTAGAACAGATGAATTTATTGAAACAAATAAATTAATGAATGATGACTGTTTGTTTTAATTTTTAAAATTTTTTTACAAAAAACGGGGATTTTGATTGTAAAAAAATTTAAAAAATTAATCGAACTCTTAAATAAAATTTGAGGGGAAATATCTAAATTTAAACGAGCTCTTCTGATGCTCTTCAGATACATCCTTAGTTTTTACTATAAGATTTTCTCATGTCAAAGGGGTTAATAAAACGAGGACTGACCGAAAATTATTTACAATACCATTAAAATCATATATATTTGTGTAATGTTGTGTTTAAATAGCTTTCCGCGACTAAAAATATCAATAAGGATGAGGGGAACTCCTTTCAATATTATTTTTATTTCACAAGAAATAAAGCTTTTTTATGAAAGACTTAATGGATATGAAAAGCTGGGAGCATTTTAAATATAAAATTAAAAATATGAGGAAAAAATTTTCAAAAAATATTATAAACAATTTTTATAACAATTACGGAAAGTTAATAAATTATTAAAAAAATTTTTTTTATATTTCAGTATTTCTTGAAAACAAACAAATAATTAAACATTATATTGATGTATTAACAGTAAATAATATAAATATTTATTACTCAAGTATTAATATAGCAAATTATATTGTTTGGTTTAGATGGGCTAATTTAATAATAAATGAAAATAATAAATGGGTAAATAATGAAAATAAAGAATTAATTAAATTAATTTGGAAAAAGCAAAAAAGAAATATTTATTTAAATTTTGATAAATTATTTTTAATTAATGAGAGTGTTGTAAAAGAGGAATTAATTAATTATTTGTGTAAAATAAATAATTTTAGAATTTTAATTAAAACTTTAAAGGATGAAAAACGTAAGAAAAAGGTAAAGGAAAAAAATTTCTTAAAATTAGTTTAGAAGGGTAAATTCTTAAATCAAAAACTACCTAGATATTTTTGGGTTAAATTAAAAGAAAGATAAATAAAACCCAGCCCCGTCTATAACAAAAACACGACCAACCGAAGCTTCACTCAGAAATCAAATGACGAAAATTTTTAGAATTACGGGGTATAGAAAAATATACAAGGGACATTCTAATGTTAAAAAAGCGTTTCAAAATTCTGGTCCCATAATATGTAGTCGATTTAAAAATACTTAAAAATAAATTTTTAGAAAACTCTTCAAAATAAAATTGAAATACATGATGTATGGACAGGAATTAATGATACAAAATATTTTAATAAAAATAATAAATATGATAAAGAATTAAAATTAATTACAAATTGGTTAAAAGAAGAACATTTTAAAATAATTAATAAATTAGTAATGGAAAAGGATAATGAATTATTTAAAAGTAAATATAATTGTTTTGTTTAATTTTAAAATTTAGAGTGAATTGTTTTGCTTCTATAGAGGAAATGCGTCTAAATATCATTTATAGATTGTCCGCCTTCTCTCGATTCTATCATTTAAATACTGACAGACAAAATTTGAAAGTCGAAAAAATTGACCGTTTTATGTCCGAGCTTTGTCCAATATTTACCAATGTCGACATGTACAAGAATAAGCGTTTATCCGAACACATTTTTAGATGTTTTTTCCCCTAAAGATTAAGTCGAAAGTATAAAATCCTTACAATAGTGGTTGAAAATTAAAAAAATTATTTAAGTTATTTTTTAATTTTTAGCAATGAAAGAAATAGAAAGTCAAAATCTTTTTGAAAATTTACAAAATTTTGTAAGCCCAGAAAATACAGAAAAAATAATAAAAATGATTGAAACTGAGAAGGAAAGAGAAAAATTAAATTTAAAAAAATTAAATAAAAAATTAAAGAAAAAAGAAAATAAATTACTAAAACCTTCCCCAACATTTCCAAATAAATTAATTGAAGAAAAAGAAGAAAATAAAAATGAAGAAGAAGAAATTAAAGAAAATAAAAAAGAAGAGGAGGAGGAGGAAATTATAAAATTAAAATATTTTATTGAAAATAAAAATTTATTTGAATTAATTAAACAAAATATTGAAGAAGGAGGAAAGGAAAATGGGGAAGAGGAAGAAGGAGGCGGAGGAGGAGGAAAAGTGGAAGGGGGAGCGGGAAAAGAGGAAGAAGGAAAAAAGGGAAAAGAAGAGGAAGGAAGATGGGGAAAGGAGGAAGGCGAAGGAAAAGAGGAAGAAGCAGGAGAGGGAGGGGGAGTAGGAGGGGGAGGGAGAAGAGAATTAATATTAAAAATGGCTATTTATTTAAATGAAATTGAAAAAAGATTTTTATTTTTGGAAAAATTAAAAGAAATTAATTTTGAACTTTTTAATATTTATTTTAAAGAAGATAATTTTAAAGAATTAAGAGAAAATTGGGAAAAAATTAAAAATAAAAATTTAAAAGAAGAAGAAGAAGAGGAATTAAATAATTTATTAATTAAATTATTAAAAATTAATAAAATAAATAAAGAAAAATTATTTTTAAATAAAATTTGCGAATTTTTTATTGAAAAAAATAATTTTAATTTTGGAGAAAATGAAAGAAAATTTATTCAAAAAATATTTAATTTAAAAAATAAAGAAGAAATTGAAGAATTTTTTGAAATAAAAATTAAAAGAGGAATTGAAAATATTAAACAAATTAATGAACAAATTATTTTAGGTTGGGGGGTTTTTTTAAAATTTAAATATTTTAAATAAAAATTGTTTAAATAAATTAAATGTGAAGTGTCAAATAGCCATCTTTAATTCAAATTCAATTTGATCGGTCAAGTTCCAATAATTTTACAAAAATTTTTTTATTATTTTTAGGTTTAAAAGATGGCCTAGAATTCCTTTAGCGTTTTTGTATTTGGAAATTATGGCCAGTTATTTTGGGACAGTCTGTTAATTTATTTGAAGGGGAGGATTCTGAAATTTATAAAATTATTTATGATTACCCAAAATTTATTTAAATGAGTTAAAGGACTCCAAGTGTATGATAAAAAAGGAAGAGAGAGAGTTTGATTTTAATAAACAGAATTTAAAAATATTTTAAGTCATTTAACTTAATATTTATAACAAATATAATTTTCAGATAAAAAAGATGAGAATAATTATTTAAATCCAAAAGGATTCCAATCACTTTCATTTAATCAGACAGAATTAATTAATTCTCCCAAAAATACACAAGAAAATAATTTATTAGAAAATAATAATTTAATGGAAATTGTATTAAATAAACAATTAAATACACAAATATTAATAGATAAATATTTGTTAAAAAATAAAAAAGAAAATAATCCAATAGAAATTTTTAAAAATATTTTTAATTTATGGAAACAAAATAATAATTATTATTTTAAATTATTAATTGCTAGTCCATATATTAACAACAATTTTTGGAAAGGAGAAGGGGGAGGGGGACATGTTAATGGAATTATTATTTTATTAGAAGAAATGATTGATAAAAGAAAAGATAATGATAATAATATTCAAAATATTTTTATTAAAAATAATATAAATTCATTTTGTAGACCTCCATTTATATTTAATTGTACAGACAATTCTTTTTATTGTCATCTTTGTAAGGTAAATCTAAATATTAATTTTAAAAAAAGGAGAAAGAAAAACTAGGAATCAAGGTGTAGTGTAAAATAATTAGATAAAGGGGCACGAATTAATTAACTTTTTTAAATCCAAGTGCTTAATTAAAAATTGATTAGTTTAAACATAAGCAAAAATTCTTCCCTATTCCAAAGTAAAGGGGGAGATCAACTGCAAGGCTCTCACAACATAAGTACTATTTAAAATGATTTTTTCTTCTTTAGAGAAAAATTTTAAAAAATTTAAACCGTCTTACGGGGTCGAAGTATTATTGCCAGACAGTTTTATGTAGGTATAATGGAACATAATCAACCACACTTAATTTATTCTTGTTTTTTACAAAATTAAAAAAATAAAAATATTTTTAATAGAAAAAATTAATTAAAAATCTTCAATATTTTGAATCAACTAATTTAATTAATTTCCAAATTGGAGAAGTTGAATTCGATATTAGTTTAATTATTACAGACCAAAAAATAATGATAACAGAAAATATAAATAAATGGGCAGAAAATATTGAAAGGAAATGTTTAAAAATAATTGAAAAAGGAAAAAGTGATAGTAAAATTACTGAACAAAAAGAAATAATTTATAAAATATCTCTTTTAATTACATATAAATATTTAGAAAATTTTATTGAAAAAAGAGATGAAAAATTTAAAGAAAATTATTTTAAAGCATTTATTTATTTAAAAAATTGGGCTAAAGGTTTTTTAAAGGAAATAATTTTTAAAAATTATTTTTTTTAAAGAAAATTGTATTTATGGAAATAAATTTGGGTTTTTGGATGGAACAACAATTTCTTTAATGATTATGAAAGTATTGTTGCTATATCCAGACACGAATTTTGTTGAATTAATTGAAAGATTCTTTTTAACATATTCTACTTGGTTAGGATACTTAATTTAAAAAATTTAAATTATTATGAGAGGTAGGTTGGGACAGATGGAGGTGTCGAAAATCGTGTGTTTTCCCCAAATATGGGAACTCAGAAATTATAAAATATTACCGGAAATTATAAGAAAAGATGATGAAAATCAGGTGCCGGAACTCAGATTTCCGACCCATAACTGATAAAAAGGCCGTTTAGTTTAATCAGAGACATAACCTAGAAAATAACCTAGAAATCTAGAGAATATTGTAATCTGAAAATCATTTAAAAATTTCCTAAAGTATTTTTTTATAAACATTTCTATTCAAATTAAAAATAAATTAAATTAAAGGAATTGGAAAACACCTATAAGAATAAAAACACCAAAAGAGATTGTAAATGAAAAACAAAAAAATCAACAAGAAATAACAGTTTATAGCCCAACATTTTCAGAAAATTCTCTTACTTTAAAAATAACAAAATTAAATGCTAAAATAATCAAAAATGAATTTTTGAATGGTAAATATTAAAAATAAAATTAATTAATTTTATTTAAATTTAAATTAAAAGGTTTTTATGAAATAAAAGAATTAATACAAAATAATAACCAATTAAATAATTTTGGAGAAATAATTGAAGGAAATAAATTTATTTCAAAGGTTAATTTTTAATTAAAATAATTCTAATTTTATTTTAATTAGTATCAAAATTATATTATTATTTCTTGTGTTACAAACAATCAAATTAATCAAGAGAAGTTTTGTAATTTTGTTGAAAAGCAGATTAAAACAGAAGTAGATGAACAAATATGTAATATTGATGAGGTATTTTTAAAATATTTAAAAAGTTGGATATCCTAGTCTGTGCATTTGAAAAAATATTATAATGTACAGATTATCTACATATATATTCGGGTTGTATGGTGGTGACATAGTCGCGGTTGTTGCTCCAGTCTCAGCTTATTCCATGATGTTTCTATTCCAATGAATTTTTCCATAACATAAAAATGTCTCAGAATTTTTTCCTCCTTTTAAAGAATATGTAATAAAAATTTTTTAATTAAGGTAGATTACTGCCACTTTGGATTAAAAACAGAAAATTGCGGATTAAATCTTCCTAAAATGTAAGAGAGAATTTTTAACAATAATCATAAGAAAATATTTTAGAAATCAATTTTGTACTTCATGGATTGTTGGAATTAAATTAAAATCTTCATTAAATAATTCAATTAATTTTAAAGAAAAATATAAATTAATTAGAAAAAATATTTTTAAAAATTTTATTTTAGAAAATAGAAATGGGGAAATTTTGAAAGAAAAGAAGAAATTGTCAATTTTTGATGTTTCTGGTGATGTATTAAAAAAAGGTACTAAAATTTAAAAAAAATTATTAAAAAATATTTTTAATAGAATTTTCTAAAGGATTTGTTTTGACATAATTTAGAGAGAAATTGGAAGTAATTGTTAGAATTAGTTGTGGAATTATTTTAGATAAATTATTTTAAATAATATTTTAAATTTATTGTTTCCGATTTTTTGTTAATTTTTTAATTAAAATATAAATTTTTAAAATTTTTTTACTCAAATGCAAGACTAATTTTTCTTTATTTTTAATTTAATCTTTATTTTTAAATAATATGCTTCACCTTTATTTAAAGATCTATTTTTATTATTAGAGGGTGCGGCAAATTGGGATAGTAATTTTCTTTTTGTCAGAAATCTCTTCAAAGTCAATATTTACACATTAATAACTTTTTTTAACTCACAACTCTCTAAGAGAATTGTTGTTGGTATAAAACAATATTTAGAAATCCACTAACTTTGAATTGACTTTAAAGATTTTTTTATTTTGTGACCTAGTTTGCCAGGTAATTTTAATAGAGAATTGAGATTTTTTGAGATTTTTTCGAGATCTCGATTCTCGTAAGACGTCCCCTTTCCGATTTCCAATTTTAGTTTTATTCTCTATTTTTTAAACTTTAACTATTACATATTTTTGTGTTTTTTTTAATTTTTTAAATTTAAAAGCAAATATTTATTTATTAGCAACCATATAAAACTGATTTTGTTCATTTTTTGTTACCTAAAAGTTAAATAATTTTATTAAAGATTTTTTCTTAAATTTATTTAAATTAAATAAATATTTAGACATTTATTTTACATTGTAATTTAATATTAAATAATTCGCTTTGATGCGACCTAAAAGTTAAATACCTAATTTTATTAAAAAAATTTTTCCATAAATTTATTTAAATTAAATTAATTTGCCGTACCCTGTAACTATTTAAATATTTATTTTACATTATAATTTAATAATTCGTTTTTATCAGAAAAAGGCTAATTCGGATATTTAAATATTATTAAAAATAATTTTAATTTAATTTTAAGAGAACTTTACAAAATGAGAACATTTTTAAGTATAAAAAATACAGTTTTTTTTATTTACCACGCATTTAAAATTACTTATGTTAAAATTTTGAATTTTTTAAAAGTTGTGCTACGTAATTATTGTTAATTAACACAAATTAAAATAAATACAAAAGGACAAATTTAATACTGCTCTTTAAACCATTATTTAAAAGTACCTATTATAAATTTTCGCACCAATAATTAGGCAACTTTAATTAAAAACTAATAATAAACATTTAATAGAGAGTATTTAAAAATATTAAATATTCATTTTATAAAAAGCATTTTTATATTTTTTAAAATTGTGTTTTTAAAATCCGAATAATCAAAGGTTATTCGGAAAAAAATAAATGAAACTTTAACTAAAAATTTTAAAATAAAATTTAAGTTTAATTTATTTAAATAAACAAAAAAATTTTAAATTTATTTTGAAAAAATAAATATTTTATTTTAGAAATAAAGTTTTATTTAATTTAAAAAACATTTAAAAAATCTTCTAAATAAAAATTAAATGAATTCGACAATTAATTTAATAGAACCAATTAATCCTGTAAGTAAATTAATTTTCAAATATAATTAAATAAAAATAATTAAAAGCTTTTTATTGAATTTGGCAAAAATAAATATTATCAATTATGCTTGTATTTATCCGCTTGGGTATTTGCAACAATTGGTTTTATTGGGATTATTTTTAATTTGAGTGTGTGCATAGTTACTTTAAAATATAGGTAAATTAAATATTAAATTTTGTGTTTAATTACTTACAATAAAAATGTGTAAATCCTACCGAAAAAATTATTAAATTTTGTGAACAAAATTTCAAATTATTAATCACCTCATAAAAATTAAAGTGCATGAGTAAAGATAGAGATTCGCAAGAATCTTCTGAGTGTTTTTCGGTATTGAAATTAAAGGAATAGTCATGGTCAAGACATTTTAAGCTTTAAAGAGGGTACCCTATCGAATTAATTATTGTCGAAATACTCACTGAATTAATAAGGAAGCCAATGTGTTGTAATTTATTATAGACTTACATAGCCAAGAATTTAAAATAAGGTCTATTAAAAATGTTAATTATAAAAAAATAAATAAAAATATATATACATAATTCATTAATTTATTAATCATTTTTAAGAAAGTATTATTTAACACTCAAATGTAATACTGGTTTTCTACTTGCTTTAGCTTCATTCTTTGAAATATTCCATCAAAGTGGCCATTTAATATTTTTAATTAAAATTCTTTTCTTTGGAATGGATTTTATTCCATACAAACAAGCAATTTTAATTCATACTCCTTCCCTTTTTGGATTCTTTGGAGCTGTTTTTATGCTTGTTTCACTCAGTGTTGATAGATTATTAGCTGTTATTATACCTATAACGTTTGTATATTATTAATTTAAAAATTTAATTTAAAAGGAAAGGAAATTCGGTAAATGTTTATTGTCCTAAACACATTTTAGAAGGCAAATCTCTGCGCAGAGCTTTGCTTACTAAAATAGTCCAAGGTATTTTAAATGTGCCGAAATTTTACTTCCAAACGGGATCGAACATTTTTCCTCATCAATTACTTATACCTAATAGGCCCAATAATAAATATTTATCATATCATCTTCAAACCTGACATTGTAAATTTTATTATTTTTTGGAAAATTATAATTTTTAAAAAACAATATCTCATATCTGATCTCAGACTAATTTAAAACATAAAAAATTATTTTTAAATTTTAAAGTTATCGCAACCTAAAACAATTTTATTACATCTCATTACACGTTTTTATTATTTTACTTCACATAATTTATGGAATGTTCATTATGAATATGGCTAAAATATCAACACCAAATTGGATGATTTCTGGTGGATTAGGTGATTTATTTACTCCCCCATTATATTTAATGAATATAATATATTATTCTGATGTTTGTTTAATGTTTACTGCAATTATTATTTATATAATTGTTGGAATTTTAATTAAATTTAAGACAGGTATTAAAAATTAGAGAAATTTTTTAAATTAAAAGAATTATTTTTTAACAGAAGTAAAAGATGAAAGAATTAAAAAAATGTATTTATCTTTATTTTTAATTGTTTTGGTTAATATTGGGGGATATTTTATTTGTAATTTGTTTGTTGCTTTCCTTTTATTATCCATTGTTCAATTAACACCTTTAAATATCTGGATTTTTAATAATATTTTTGCTATTTTTCTCAATATTGCTGCTGCTTCTATTGGCCCTATTCTATATTTTAATAGGTAATTTAATTTAAAAAAATTTTTCTTAAAAAATTCCTTTATTGCCTATGTTAGGCAAATAGAATTTCCAAAATTCAATATCGACACTAAATGCGTACACCCCAACCTACCGCGAGCCCAACCTACGGCAGAGGCTATAACTTTGTTTAAAATTGTCGAATCTAGGGAACTTGGCATGGCTGGATTCAGCTCGTCGAGGTGCATCGAACAATACAAGGGTGTTTCGGATTCGACAATTTTGAAAGAAGTTATAGCCTCGGCGGAGGGTTGGGTTGGCCTGCTCCCGCACTAAATAACTTTCAATTTAAATATAATTTATTATTTCAGTGGTGAATATAGAATTGCATTTAAACGAGCATTTGTTGATGTTAAAAAATTATTAAAATTAAATAAATCGGGTGTCTCGACAATAAATGCAGTAATTGTTAATAATCAAAAAGAAATGAAGATTACTCCAGTCAGTAAATAAATTAAAAGAAAATCAGATTTTGTTTAATAAACGTTCAATTTAATAAAATGTTTAAAATAAAAGTTTAATTCTAATGATTTCTCTCAGAATAAAAATTACTTTTGAATTTAGTAATTAGAAATTAATAAGATCTGCCTTCTTGACTTGTTTCTGATCATTAAAAGTATTTACATATATTTTTTAAATTTCCAATGAAAATAAGGAAAAATTTAGTAATATTTGGAATGAGACAATAATCTCGCGAAATTTTTTAGATTATCAATCGGTATCTCGATTTTAAATTTCAGAGATGTTTCGAGAATGGATTCATTCTCGAAGAACAATGCTGAAAAAAGACAAAATAATAATTTAATTTAATATTTTTTATTTAAAAAATTCTTTAATAATCACTTAAATTAAATTAATTTTTCTTTAAATTATTTTCTAAATTAAATTTTCTTTATTTTATGTACAATATACATTTATTTCACTCCTTTTTTTTCTTCAATATTAAATAGTAAACGTCATTCAACCAAACAAAATCAATAAAAACCTTCCTCTCGTCTTTCAATTAAATAAAAAAATTTTTTGTTAAGTCGAGAGTAAAAAGGCCTTATATTTAAAATTTATAAACTATAATTTATTTAAACATTAAAATTTATCAGAAATTGTTAACACAAAATACAAAATTAAACATTAATTTTTGTGTCCTTTCCTTCTAAAAAATTTTTTGACAAAGATTTTAAGTGTTAAAACCCTCTTATTTTATCACCAAAAATTTTCAATTAAAAATTTTACTTAAAATTTAAATAATGCTTACAACAAATATTGATGAGAAAATAAACATAAAAGAACAAAGAATTTGTGTTGTTTGTGGGGATGAAAGTGATGGTTAATTTTTTTAATTTTTGATAAATTATTATTAAAATTATTTATTAGGGTTACATTTTGGTAAATCTTCATGTAGAGCTTGTGCTGCTTTTTTTAGGTTAAAAATAAATTTAAATTAAAATATTTTTCCTCAAAATTTTAAATTAATTTTTATTAATTATGGAGAATTTGTTGGTATTTTAATAGAGAACTAACTTAATAAAAACTAATTAAAATTAAATTAAATTTTAATTTCAATAGAGAACCCTCAAACATTAAATAATTATAAAGCATTAGATCCACTAAATTTTCTAAAACGCCCCATTTTTTCATTTATGTGTTATTAACATTTTTTTAAATTTTATATTTAAGACGAACTGTGAGTCAACGACTTAAATATATTTGTAAAGTATGTTTTAGAATTTGTTGTTATTTAAAATTAAAATTATTAATTCTATAAAGTATAAGTAATTAATTTATGTAAAAACAAAGGGTCCTAATTACTAGGCTATAGAGACATCCAAAGACTTTTCGTTTTGACTTAAAACTTCTCTTGCCTTTACTGTTACTTAATTTACCTTAATTAAAATAAAGTAAATTCTCGCTGGGAGGGTGTGGGTACTTATCTAGAGGGTGTAATTATTTACTATAATAATAATTTATTAATTATAAATAAACTTTAATTTTTTAAATTTAATTTTATATTTAAGCGAGATGGTAATTGCTCAATTGATAGAGGTTTGTAATACTTTGGTTGAAAAATAAATATTAAATTAATTTTTAAATATTTAACGGATACAGATAATATTCTGATATCCATGTGGATAAACCCCCCAAGCCAAACTTCTAACGATTAATAAAAATTATTTTTTATTAAAAATGCTGATTGTTAAAAATGATAATTTTTAGACTCATTTCTAAATTACCCTATTTTTACTGTTTTTTTGGTCTACTGGTCACTCAATATTTCAATTTATATTTCTTTAAAGGAGCAAGAAATATGTGCCGTTCATGTCGGTATGAAAAATGTTTACGTGAAGGAATGCTTACATCTTCTGTTCAAAATCAGTACGAACAAATAAATGATAATCAAAGGAATTCTTTGCCTCTTCTCCCATCTGAGAGTGGAATTGGGAATAAAAGATTTGTTTCTGGTATTGAACAACAAAAATATAAAGGTGGATTAAAAGGGAGATTTAAAGTTTAGAAAAGTATTATTAGAAAAACTCCTTTCTAAATTACCCTAGTTTTACTATAATTTTTGGTCTAACACATAATCATAGATAAATAATTTACTTTTTTTTATTCTGTAATTAAATACCTGCTTAATTTTAAGACAATTTTATTAACCACCAATCTCCTCAATATACTCATCTCCATAGAATGATGGAAGGATATCAACAATTTAAATCATTACGTAAAGCTGGTCAAGCAATGATTGGAGTTTTTTCTTTATCTGCACTTTCTGGGGGTGAATTACCGAGAAGTCATATTGATACTTATATGAAGATATGTAAAATAAATGTAAAAAGAAATTTTTGTTTGAATTTAAATTAACAACAATTATTTTATAGATATCTATTATGCAAGATATTCTTGAACGTTTTTTCTATCCATTTAATGAAGTTCCAGCAGCTGATAAAGTAGTTATAAAATGAATTATATAATAAAATAAGGTGTTTGTCGAGTTCCGGAATTAAAAATACATAGAAATTTCCGGAAAATTTTTAGCCAGGAACCAGATAATTCATAATTCCTTCAAAATAATAATATTTATCCATTTATAATTAATGTGTATTTAATTCTCTACCATTTTTTGTTTCTACCGAAACAGTGAATAAGTTTATAAAAGTTAATAACTGCAATCTCGGTTTGGGAATTGGAATCGCTGAAGCGGGAAAACACCGGAAAATATATTTTAACTTTTTGTAATGCCGAGTGTATAAAATAAAAAATTCAATTTTTTTCTTTTTAGTTAAAATTAACTCATTATTATGGACAAATGTTTTGTAATGCTGAACGGGCTTTTCAAACATATTTAAGGTTTGGGCCAGGTGAAGATCTGCTTATTATGCCTGATGGGGTATCTTTAAATTATTAATCTTAGGAAATTTTTGCTAAATTAATTTTCTGCCTAAACTTATAAGCAATTAAATACATTTATGTAAATAAATTTAATTTAAAGGGTTATGTCAGCTTAAGTGAATTTCATCTTTTTTTCAAAGATAGTAAACAAGTAACCAGTGAACCTGAGCAAATTGCAAGGTTTTATATATTAAATTTATTTAATATACTGGATATATTTAAGAGTATTCCATAATGCAATTCAATATTTAATTGCCAATGTTGTCCCACATATGCGTAATCTTGCAATGCAAGAGGAAGAAATGGTTGCGTTAATGGGAATGTTTCTTTGGAATGATTGTCTGTATTTTTAAATTTATTTCTGATAGAAACCTAATTCGGCGTCACTATAGTACGTGGGATCAAAGCCTAGATTAGAAATATATACCAATCTATTGAAAAAATAAAAATTCCATTTTGTTCTGCTAAAAGATACTCAGTTCCGTGACTTGGATAATTTAAACAACATTCTCATTTTTTGTTTAAGTTCGGGCCGTTTCGAATACCCTGATTACCGTATAATCTCTATCAATTGACCTTCCTCGTATTGCCCCCTCTCGATTAATTATCCTCTCACAACTATACCTGAAAGCAATAATTACCCATTATAATTATTCAAGGAAATACGGCTTGAACAATTATAAAATTAATTATTATATAAGTTATTCAAAAATTAATTACTTATTCAATTAGTTAAAAAATTATTTTTAATTAAAGCAATCGACATTTCGGAGCAAAGTTTAAGTAAAGCAATGCAAGTTCGAAACGAGATAATTGTTGATTTACATAAATATTATCGTGAAATTGGTTTAAATGAAGAGGGGATATCTGTTAGAATGTACTTTATTTACATAAAGATATTTTAATATTTTTTTTAATTTTAGAGCAAATTTATTTTTATTGGTTCCTAAAATTGAGGTAAATTTAAATAAAATATATTAAAAATTAAAATAAATAAAAAACAGAATGTTGTTAAAATGATGCAAGAAAATGCTTCGATAACAAAGTTATTTGATATGATGAATATTAGTGAACCTATCTGTATGGGACATGTTTAATAATGATCTTTTTAGATTTTTAAATTTTAAATATTAATTTTATATATTTTTAAAATAAATGCAGACTTATTTTTTGTATAATATTTAAATTTCTTGTCCCATCTAAGCAAATACAAGAAAATTTTTACAAAAAAAGTCTAGAGGTATCTCCTCTTTTTTCCCTTATTTACTCTATTAATTGTTCTCATCCTCGAATATTTCCCCTCTCCAGCGCCAGATTAAAACCCTAAAAAATTAATTTTACTCTTGCAAATTAATTAGGTAGATTCATTAAATCTTTTATTTTAAATTAAATATCTTTATTAACTTCAGCCATTTCTGCAACAAATGATTTCCGTTGTTCCCATATACTTGTACTTTCATTATTCCATTTATTTTCCTCCTCCTCGTAATTATCTTCACTTTTATTTTTAATTTTTTGAGATTTAAAATTCCGTTCATTTTCGTTTTGTTGTTTACAAATAATTTCTAGAGGCTTTGGACAAAGGCAAGGTTGTAAACGAAGAATTTCTTGTTCATTCTCGTTAATAAAGTTTTGTTTATTGTTTATTATCCTTTGAAAAATATTTTGAAAATAATTTTTTAAAAATTATTTTACCCATTTTTTGTTGTTTTTGTGTTGTGCCATGTATTATTTTGTTGATTCCATTCTTGAATAATTGGGGGTGTCGCTGGAATTATATTTGTTTGGATATTAACAATAGAGGAAACTGAAGGAATAGCTTCAGTATTACGCTGAATTTTTGTGTTGTCTGAAAGGAATTTTGAATTAATTTTTTTTTAATTTGTTAAAACCTTTAAATCGTTCAGTTATCATTTCCCCATTCTCTTCTTTATTAAAAATTTCTGTGGATGTAAATTCTTTATTTTCCTTGTCCCCCAATTTTTTGTTTATTTTTCTTTCATTATTTTCATTTTTAGAATTTCCAAAACTTTTAATAATACAGCAAGTACTAATTAAAAGTAAAAGCACAATTAAAATAATTATTAAAAAAGCTAATGCTGACATTGAAAAAGGATTTTTTGAATAGCCTAAATAATAATTACTTTTATTTAAATTATTTATATCAAACAATATTCCTCATCACTATCATCATTCTCAGCACAATTTGAGATTCCATCACAACGCAATGTTTCGTTAATACAAAGTCTGTTACGTTCAACACAAACACTATTTTGACTGTCCAAACAAAAATATCCCCCAAGACACACAAATCCTGGACAAAGATCACTCGTTATAACATCAAAGCTTTCTTCAGCATCTTGACTAACAGAAGTCTCAATATCTGTAGTTAGAGGGAAATCACTCGAAGTTGCTATCAATGAATGGACCTACATAAAATTATTTTAAATCTCAAAAAGAAATAAAAATTATTTTCTGGGGCATTTCGTGTTTAAGACAATAAATTTTTAAATTTATTAAAAACCTCTGTCCAAAGAAGACGGAAACCAATTGGGCTATAATTTTTCTTGTATTCAGCTAATTGAATTTGTGTTGGTCCCTCAGTTGTCATAAACTGTATAATTACTCTGTTACTTTCGGAAAGGTAAGATAACGACCCTTCTTCTGTATAATATGATTTATTTCCATAAAAGGAAATACTTGTAGTATCTCTTCTTGGGGAACCAAAATTTAATATGTTATTAGAAGATTTTTGATAATCTTCATTAATTTTTTGATTTATTTCTTCAGAAGAAATTCCAAAGCTATATCCATCTATTATTGAAAGAAAAGCACGTTCATAATCTTTAAATAAATTAACTAAATACAGTCGGCTCCTATTGTAAATAAAATTTTTAAGTTTAGTTAGCCATTGGGGGAAGAAACATTTATTGTCATATTCAATACTACACCTTTATAAGATAAAGTTGGTTCATCCCCAAGCGTTTATTCACAAGAAAGGTTTGCTTATCCTTAATTTAGCCCTTTATTGCAATATATGTTTACCCAATGTCGGTGATAATTCCAGATCCACTATTCTAATATAAATTCTTTTATTTGGATCAACTCGAATAAGCCAAAAACAATTAACATTTTGAGGATATGTAGACCTTGTATTAATTTTAAATTATTTTGTAACCGTTTTGTCAACTTACGGGAATCCAGGTGATTGAATAATTCCACTTAAAGAATTTGGCTGAAATATTTAATAAATTTTTTTGTCATATTTAAATTTTTGGTCTATACTGGCCCCCCTTTTCACCGTTTATCCCGTTTATTTTTAACTTTGTCTATTATCTCAGAGACTCCCAAAAAATATTTAATAATTATAAAATATTACTAAATTTGCACCTCCACATTCTAAACGATATCTTTTATTTGGTTCTTCATATTGACTGTTTATTACAGAAATTTTCTCTAAATTATATATTTTTATTTAATTGTTTAAAATTAATTTTTCTAAACCTTCTTTTACAAAATCAAAACGTAATTTAAATCCTTTCCAACGTTTTGAAGTATTTGTATTTGGTAAATAATGCTGTAAGGGTGGGGATGTTGCAATGAATAAAACTCTTAATTTTGACTGCATACTTTGTATAGACTTTGGTTTTTTATTTCCACAAATTCTTTCACTTGTATGTTCTAATCCTTCTCTATCTTTAAATTTATTTTTAAAAAATATTTAGAAGAATTATTTAATTTTTAATATTTTTATTCAGATCTTTTCCCAAATCCTCCCAAATAATTTTTATTTATTTTTAATTTTCTTCACAATTTAATCAAACAAACCAATAAATGTCAAAATAAAATAATCACGTAAACACTGATCTGAACGAGAATATCTAGGTTCTAAATCCAAATCCAAAAATTTTATATTAATAACTAATCCACTTCCTTCTTGTGCTTCTAAATTAACTGCGCATTTTACACGCTCATAGCCATCTTTAGGATAACTTAAAAATTAATTAATTTTTTTGGAATTAAACTTTGTCGAAAAATCTTTTTTGGAATTACCCAGTTGAAGAAATAAATCCGTATCCATTCTTTCTAATAACCATTATTCTTCTCAATTTTGTTTGATTATTTGAGGCTAAAGTCATCTGTTAAAATATGTAATTTGTTAATAAAATAAATTAATCTGATTATATTTTTTTAATTTTGTAAAACTAAATACAGTTATAAATATATAAAATAATTATTGTTTCATTCTCACGCTTGAGGGAGTAATTAACACATGGAGGTTGGAAGATTAATAGTGAATAATTACCTTCCTTCAAATAATTGGGGGGGGGGGGGGGGAATTATTCTCAATATACTTGATGAATTTACACATAGAATCTATACCTTCTCTTCTAAAGTAGCAGAATTTGGATTAACAAATAATTTAATGCATCCAAAATCATATTCATCCAATTGTTTATTAATTGCGATTTTTAGAATTATAGAAAATAAAATAATTAAATAAATAATTTTTGGCATTATTTTAAATTAATTCAAAAAATTCAATTTTAACTACTAAATATGGGGAAATATTTTTTTTTTAATGTCCAAACAAACAACTTCCACAAACTTTTTTTCCGCCAAATTTCTATTTTCTTTTGAATATGCTTTTTAAAGTATGTAAAAGCCATTTCCTTCCCCTTCTCTAAAAATAAATTAAATTATATATCCTTAAAAGTAATATTAAAAAAGGAAAAAGGAAAAAAATAAAATTTAAAAAATATAAAAATATTTTTTAAATAATTTTAAATATTTTTACATTCAAAATTTGTTTTTCTATATTTGTATTATATAATTAAATTTTTATAAACTTTTGAGAGTTTGTCTACTGATAAGAAATATATAAAATAAATTTTTCTTTCTTTTACTATATTTTAGAGGCAATTGAAATTAATTAAAAATATTCTCTCTATTTAATTTTTAACTAAATTTAATTTATAAAGAATGCATTAGTTGAAATATTTACTGTTTATTTTCTAAATTTATGATGAAAATCACAATTTATTGTTTGTTTTTACTATTAAAATGTAAATAAAATTTTAATTAATTAATTAATTTTTATTAATATATTCTAGTTATAATTACAACAACAACATTTATTTATCCTGAAGATTTGGCAGAAAATTTATTAAAAAATATTAGTGCATTTAATTCTTCTAAAGAAATTACCTTACTTTTCACCGGTGACACTCAATACCACTTTCCCTGCGTTTCAATCAATCAGCAATGCAAGGAAAGGAGTAAAAATTGTTCTGCTCAAACAAACACAAAAAATACAGTCATCGACATAAAGATAGGGGCAAGTGTAAATGAAATGAAAATTAACTATTTTTCGGTCAAAAAATACGTTCTATATAGCAATCGAAAGCTCTATTCGTATCTCAGTTGACATGTTTCTGCATTTTTCATGAAAATGAAAATTGGCCGAGATAAGCCGGATCTACCGGATATACCAAATCCTATATCCTCGGAAAAATTTTTCGGGAAAAATTTAACAAACCCATTTGATAAAGAATATTTTTGTGAGTATTTGCCAAAAAACCGCTTAGAAATATCTTTTTCCGATCCAGAGATATGATTTTTTGAAAATGGCATTTTTCCCTTAAAAATTGAATTTTTTGCAAAAATTGACGAAAAATGCCATTTTCAAAAAATCATATCTCTGGATCGGAAAAAGATATTTCTAAGCGGTTTTTTGGCAAATACTCACAAAAATATTCTTTATCAAATGGGTTTGTTAAATTTTTCCCGAAAAATTTTTCCGAGGATATAGGATTTGGTATATCCGGTAGATCCGGCTTATCTCGGCCAATTTTCATTTTCATGAAAAATGCAGAAACATGTCAACTGAGATACGAATAGAGCTTTCGATTGCTATATAGAACGTATTTTTTGACCGAAAAATAGTTAATTTTCATTTCATTTACACTTGCCCCTATCTTTATGTCGATGACTGTAAATTAGTAAAAATTAATTTATTTTTTTAATAGACCTCTAATTCCTAGAGCTTTATCTTCATCAGTCCCTTTTTTGGAAAATTTAAGTCCGATCTATTTTGTACGAGATTTTATGGGCTTTCTAACAAGCCTAAAATATTTTCTATACATGAGTTAAGTGGGTTAAAATGTTTTCTAGACAAAATCCTTCAGCAATACTTCCTTCTCTCCCGTTAATTTTTCTCTGAACGATTATTACTTTATAAAGTAGTAAAAACAACTTTTAGAATTATATTTTAATTTTTAAAAATTTCATTAGCCCACTAACGACTTAGTTTACGAGTCAACAACAAAACAAAGCGATTTATCCTTCCCTCCACCCAATTGTGTATTTATTGAATCTTCTTTTGCCAATGAAATACAGCGAAAAGCTATTTATAGACTTATCCGAATACTTGAAAGAAATGGACAAAAACCTTCAGCATTAATTATTAATGGAGATTTAACTAATTTTGGACATTCCTTTCAATTAGAACTTTTTAAAGTTTTTTAATTTTCGAAATATTCTTGAAATACAAAATTTAGATAGAATGGTTACAAACAATCCCGATTCCTTTATTAATTGGATTAGGAAATCATGATTATGAAAATAATGTTGATGATTGTATAGGGAATAATTGTGCTGACAGAATGCTTCGTTGGTTTAGTGAAGAATATGTTCCCACAATGACTAATTTTTTTGGAGAATTTGATTTGGAGAAAAAGTCTGAGCTTTGGAGATCTGAATATGAGGGAAGTCTTGCTTACACAGCAAAGATATGTTCAAAATTAGATAATGGGTCTAATTCTGGTAAATTAATTTTTTAAATTGGAAGGCTTTAAAAGAATGTCAATAATTTTTTTGGCTACAATTAATTGATAAAATATTTTTCAATAAATATTCAGTAAAATCTTTGTGATAAATAAATTCTGTAATTAATTATAACTCTAAAAAATAAATATTATTGAAAATTAATTGATAAGAGAATAAAAAACAAATAATTTCTGTCATTCTAGCTAATTCTAAAATTTAATTTCATCTTTTAAAGATTTTTGTCTTTACTCCATTCAATTGCATAACAGACCTGATTATGCAACATTAATTAAATTTCCTTATGGTCATTGGCAAATACGCGGCTCTTTTCATTGGTTGGGTGTTGAATTGGATAAAATAACTGAATTATTAAAAAATAATGGACAAACATCTGGGGTTGTTCTTATTAATTTACATAATCATAGCGATAAAGTGGCTGAAAGATTGAAAAGAACATTGGAAAATTGGTAGGTTTTGGGACATGATTGGAAAGGAAAGGATTATTTGGAAAGGAGAATGTTCAATCTCTCAGACTCTCAAAATTGTGTCGCTGTATTAGCCGTCCTTATATTAGAATATTTTAAATTAATTTATGTTTAAAATAAATAATCTGATGCGCAAAATATCGTTGATATTTCCCTTTACTTTTTAAAATTTAGACGTTTTCTTCTGAAAAATTTCCTCAAAAATCAAAAGAATTTCTCAAAAAATATTTCAATCCAAAATTATCTTTTTAGGAACAAATTTAAAAAATATAAAGAAATTCGGCTACTTTTTATAATACTTTTTGCACATCTACACCAAAATCATTTGGTTAATTATCAATGTATTAATGGTCAAAAAGTCCCTCACATTTTTGTTGGTTCTGTGCCAAATAATAGGTAAATAATAATTAAAATTTAAATTAATTTTTATTTTATTTTAGATTTACTTTAATTAAATTTCGAAAAAATGAAGAAAATAATAAAAATGCTCAAATATTTCTTATACAATCAAACTCTAATTCTACAATAAAAATTATTGAAAGAATTAATTTTGAATGGCCAGATTGTTTTTAAATTAATTGAAAAATAATTTAAATATTTTTTTTTATTTTTATGAATATTTAAAAAACTATTGAAAATAAATTTCTTTGAATTTTATTTTTATTTAGCAAATATTAAAAATACAAAATATTTAAAAATAAATTTAAAATTAAATAAAATCTTTATCAAAATAAAACCGGATTTAAGAATTTAAATTCTAAATAATAAATAAAAAGTTTAAAGTTAGAGTTGAGCAGAATAAGGATCCTAATCAAGAATTGCTGTCGTTAGAATTACTCTTAAGTCCCACAAACACCGATACCCTCCTTAGTTCGGCACTTAAAAATCCTCTTAATACCTCTTGAACACCAAACTATATACATCTTAATCTACCGATAGTCCACTGACGCAGTCTCTTCTTCGATGCAGAATCGATGTTTATTTTTTATATTTTAAGAAGTTACAAATAAAAAGCAAAACTATTTGAAGGAAGAGTGTCTGAGTGAATGCAGCAATAGGGAGATTGATAAAATTATGCACTGAAGGACAGACGATACGATACAACAAGTAAAAAACTGATTTGGGGTGGGGGGGGGGGGGGGGGGTAATGGTTGGTAGTTTGATAATGTTTGGTAGTTGTAGATAGAACTTCTAACCTCAAGGGTGCAAACTAAAGCGAGGTCCAAACTGATTATTAAATGTGTTTTAAATATTTAAAAATAAATACAGGCTTTAACCTGTTGAAAAACGATGCAAATAAATTATATAAAACAAAAATAATTTAATCAAAAGTCAATGAAAAACAATAATTTCTAAATAAAGTCCTGTTAAATTTTATTCTTTCATTTTTTGATTTTAATATAAATTGATCCATACCGCTCTTCACTGCAAAATGAGAATTTTACTTTTGGATTGTAAATATTGGCAATTTGGTATTTTGTATATTTGACTCGAGTTTCTTGTTTAATTTCAACCTTCTCTGCTCTTTCACTTAATTTAAAATTTGTGTAAATTGAATATAAATCAATGACGTGCACCATTTTTGAGAAGTTTTTTGACGTTGCTATATACTAAAATTTAAATTTATTTTCAATTTTGTATTTTAATAAAAATTACTTCTGTAATAAGATGATAAAACTTTGATAACTTATCACCTCTTAAAAAAATTTTTGTGAATTTATTTCCTTCATTTATTAAAATATTGAATAAAAGATTTGTATGTTGTTCTGTAGTGTCATCATCAATTAAATTAATACTAAGTAATTCAGAAACTAATAAATGATTTAAAGAAAATTTCAAAATGTTTTCAATTAATTTTTTGTCCACAAATAGAATTGCTTAAAAAAATTTATTTAAAAAATTTTTATCCCGCGGGATCCCGCAAAATACTATTTTTGCCTACGGCGCTAAAAAGGAAGGAATTTCGATACTTGGTCTTCTAAAATTTTCGCCTGCCGCCCAATGAATCATCTCTATTTCATCAAAACAAGATTGTCCAAATTGTTAGATCACGATGATTAATCCCATTTGTTTCAGCTCAGGCTATTCTAATTCGTATACTCGAATTTTCCGATAAATATATATGAGCTTGCCCCTTATGATTTTTTGATAATTGGGGACCTGGGATAAGTGATTATACATTTGTACCAACTTGCTTGTACTCGTAAATTGGTACGAAGTACGATACGTGTACAAGCAACGAGTACGAGTTAAAAATCCGTTAATGTTTAGTAAATCGATTTTTTAAATAGATATTGATAATTTTAACAATTTTTGAAAAATCCCGCAAATCCGCAAATTTAAAATGCGGGATTTTGAGGGAGTGCGTGATTTATCCCGCGGGATCCCGCAAACGCGATTTTACCGACCACTAGTTTGAATGTTAAATTGAAGTGGAATTGTTTTGTCGTTATCGAATAATATATTGATCATTTGTGGATTAAATATATTTCTAGAAAAATCAGCATACTCAAAAGCACAATTAAATAAATGTTCTAGCCAACATCGAACAATAATCATTTCTTCAATATTTTTTGGAAATTTTGGCAATTCTAGTAGATAACTTGAATAGCACATTAAACCGAAATTTCTTTTTCTAATGCAAACAAAGCTTTTCGAATTCTCAAAAATATCCAAAAACAGGGGAATTGATTTGTCTACAGCTGCCTGCCACTGAAAAAAAATAAATGTAATTTACAGAAATTAATTTTTAACCTTCTCCTTAAGTTGATCATTCAAAGTAAAATCAAAAAGTCCAGATTCAAGATCAATAATTTTACCAGTATAAACAAAACAATCATTTTCATCAGCCTAAAAACTTAGAATGTTTTTTAAATAAATATTTACCAAAGAGAGGGTATTGAATTTCATTCGTGCCAATTCTCCCTCATATTTATTAATTAAATTGCGAAAGTAAAAATTTGTTTGTTTAACAGAAAATAATTGGTTGAAATCAAGACATTTTAATACATCAAGTTTTGCTTCATTTGGAAGAGAAAACATTTTTAATTATCTAAAAATAATGAAATATGAGCTCTATAGTTAGTTTTTTGTACGGCTTAAAAATTGACTTGAACTGAATTTATGGATGGGTGGGAAGGAAAAAGTAAATGAATAATGGGCGCGCCCCGAAAATGTCCCTACCCAAAAATGTCCCCCTGTACAATCCTAAATATTTAAAAATAATAAAAAATTGAATAAAATTTTTTTATCAAAATAAAAATATTTACAAATTTAAATTTTAAAAAATAAATAAAAAAGTTAAAGTTAGACATGAGCATAATCAGGACCCGATCAAGAACCGCTATCGGAATCAGGGGTTTCGGTAAAAATATTAAACAACTATTGAATGAAAATAAAAAAAATCCTGATCATGCCCATCTCAGATTAAAGCAATTTGCTTTACGATTTCCTCGGATTTTTGATATGGATTTTTAAAATCCAATTTTTATATAAAAATTTTACATAAACTTTAGAATATATAGATTAATATAATCAAATTGTGATGACTAAGGCTGTGATAGTTAGGCAAGTAAAATTAGTGAAATAGGCGCCTAAAATAGGCACCAAAAAGCCAAAAAAGGCACAAAAATAGGCAGGTAAAAAAGGTTATCAGCCTATAAAAACAAGAAAACCTATTCGCCGTTTTTTGACCATTTTGCCATTTATTCGTCATTTTAAATCATTTTTTAAGCAAAAATGGTGCAATTTTTAAAAATGTCGATAATTGACAAAAAGCAAGTCTTGCCCAACCCACAAAATGTCCCACCCCAAAATGTCCCAACACCAAAACGTCTAATTTCAAAATGTCCAACGGAGTAAAAATACTTAATTTGTCGAATTATAAATTAAAATTTAGGGTTGGCACGGATTTTTTTTAAATCTGGGCTGATTTTTTTTAGATTTTCACTGATTTTTAGGCAAAATTTAGGAAAAATCGCTAAAAAAGGCAAAAATAGTACCGAAAATTCCAAAATAGGCAAAAAGGCTCAAAAAGTCCGAAATAGGCAAAAATAGGCAAACTAAAAGTCATGCTAAACTATTCGGACCAAGCTAAAAACAAGTTTTTTGAACGTATTACATCATGCCAAGCTCGCAAAAAAAAGGCATTTGCCTATAAATCACAGCCTTAGTGATGACTAAATCTATCAAAAAGGTTTAATTTTGTTTCACATTACCCTAGATATTTCTAGTAAGTTTGGGTTTTATAAATTTTGTTTTTGTAGAATGTTTTTCATTAAAAGGTTTAGCATTCATTTACAAATGAAAATTAAAGTTTCTCACAATTCTTAATATACTTATACCTAAAATTGCTCCCCTTTGATTAATTTAGTTTTAAATGTAAAAATGGGGAAGAAATGAAAATAGGGCAAATGGATTTAAAAAATAATACTTACTAGAAGATACATGTCTACAGAAACTTTTCTGCATAAAAAATGCAGCAGGTGTTTCTGTTTAGCATAAACTGAATATTTACTAGTGGTTCACCGGAACCGAAATTTTGACCGGAACCGGACCCAATTTGAGTTCCGGTTCCCGGAACCGGAACCAAAAACTTCAGGAACTTCCGGTGAAATTCTAATATTTACATATATTTGTACACTTTTGACAAAATTAAGGATAATATCAAACAAAAATTGTTTTTCTGAAAGAGATTCAAACAATTTAAGATTATAATTTCTTGTATATATTCTTCAATTACTAAAAATTTTTTGTTTGAATTATCCCTAGTTTAAAAACATTTAAATAATAATTTTTTACATTTTTACTCAATAGAGATAATATCCCTGCTTGCCTTTCTCGTTCAAATGTGTTGTAACATTTGAGAAAATCATTCGAAGATTTTTGAGTTTTCCATTCCCGTTTACACTTTAAAATAAATTAATTTTATGTAATATTTATGTAGTTTATTTAATTTAAATATTATTTTTTAAAAATAATTTTTAC